ATAGTGATAGAGGGCGTCAGGAGTGCAGGGATAGAGGGATAAGTCTAGTTTGAGGATTTTAATAATGCAGCGTGCCACAAGGGGATTTTTAGAGAGAAATTTTGTCTGTCTGGGCTTTTCACTCTGGATTTAGTTTTGTTATCTCATCCATTCACACTGCGCTGACATCACTCTCTTTCTTTCCCTCAGTCTCTGCCTTACAGAAACAGCTTCTGCTGCCGTCATCAGACATTTTATTGTTCTCATATTCATGCAGCAGCCGTTTTCGCTGTGTCACTCTGAAGTTTTATTGTTTATACTGCTGTGTTAAAGGTTGTACGAGTCATATTATTTGAGGATGTCTGACAAATTCTTACCACTTCATTGCTGTTTAATTCATGAGCGACTGAAATGACAACGGATGGTGAAAATCCGGCCATTTTCAAAGTGAAACAATTTATTTATTTTTTTTTAAATGTATAAAACCTTTTCACCCGACTTTACCTGGAATTGTTCCTGCCAGACGCCTTCCAGGTGAAGGTGTGGTGAGCTGATGTGTGAAAACAGAAAAGATTCAGAAAGATTCACAGCGAGCATCAGGCGGCGGTGATGATGAAATATCACACAGCAACTGCACGACCAGTGTGATCATAACGCAAAAAGCTCCTTCGTGATGTTTTCCACTCGTTTGTTGATACTTTAAATATGTCCAATTACACGTAGCATTCATATTAAGGCAAAAAAAAAAAAAAACTATCATCATAGTGTTGGACTCTGTTGCTGTGCTGCTTTCTTGGATTTCTACAGCGTTGTCTCAAGTCATGGCTTTGCCTCCTGAGACCCCTCCCCCTCCCCTCGTCTCACAGGGAAAGCTTTACGCTGTGAAGGCAGCTTGGGAAGGTTTCGGGGGCAGGTTGACTGAAAATTTTCTAGACATGTTCAGGAGTCGGGGCACTGATGGCCTAGCTGTTAGGTCGCGCCCCAAAGTATGAAGGCTGTTGTCCTCCAAGTGGACGGTCGGGTTCAAGTACAACCTGGGGACAATGTGAGTCCTCTTTCTCTCTCTCTCTTTCTTTCTCTCCTGATCTCCTACTATATCAGCAGCTGTCCTTTCAAAATGAAGGCAAATAATTAATCATTTGGAGTTAGTGTTAGTAAGGCTGTTGTTATGTGGTAGCGTTTTATATCTGATGGAAGCTTTTTTAACCTAATATATTGTTTGAAGTTAAATGCAGCCTAAATTGCCTCCACACTGCACTATCCTTAGTCTACTCTATAAATTGATTGTAGTGAACTTATTAGAACTTCAGAATTCCAGCTAATCAAAACATCTTGTAATTGGTTCAATGTTAATGGGGTTTCCAACGTGCTGTTTTCACACCTATGGCCAGATAGCCTTTAGTCTTTTCGTTGTACTTGATCATTTCTGTTGCTCATTTACCAAGAAGCAGCTTAATGATGACGTTTGTCAGCCCTTGAATTCAGTGGAACCGCATAACAGCATTTAAATTTCTCATCCTGAGTGTGATGTCGGAGTGAATAAGGTGAATGGAGCATCTTTACTGGACGCTTCCACATCCAGATCTCACGGGCCTATGTGATCTTTAAAAACGCTGGCTTAAACTCAGGGTTAAGCTGTCCTGGCATTTAGATTGGCAAGACTGTAAAAGAACTGGGTGAGAGGGAGAAAAGATGTCTTTCTCTCCCTCCTAGTCCTCTATCCTCCCTCCTCTCTCTCTCTCTCTCTCTCTCTCTGTTCATTGTGGAGCACTCTGCAGTGATGATGTGGATGTGATGGGGGTGGAGTGGAGTGGAGGCTACCCTCATCTTCAGTAAACAATAGGTCCTTGTGTGTTTGACCCCCTCTTCAGCCGAGTGGAGGCTGAAGCCGGGATGGAATTCCATCTTTGCCAGATTTAGACGGTGGAAACCCTCACACGAAGAAAAAAAAAAAAAAGAAATACAAACCCCAATATTAGGCGGGTCATTCCTCTGGGGCAATTTGTTCTAACTTACAACCACATCAATAATCAATTACCAGTCTCTCCTTTTTTTTTCTCTCTTGCTGTGGTGTCCCTCATCGATTGTCTGTTCATGCTCTGCCACATGATATATCTCCCCCTCCACCGGGTAACTGATTACTAACCTATATTTGAGCCACAATGGTGCTACTAGGTCATTAAGAAGTGCTCGACAGGCATTTTATTTTAGCCTTTTGTTCTGTAATTTTAGGTGTTAAATCTGAAATGAGGACAAATGACCCATGCAGGAAGTCAAACCCCTCGCTTTATACTTGTAAGAGGGTACCTTTTATTTTGTTTTCTACGTATTGGGTCTTGAGTGTTACTTTGTCTAACATGAATCTTTTCAGTAGCTTGATTGCTCATTAAATCCTCAACATTGCTAGACTGCTTGTTGATTCATGTGAATAAGGAACTGCCTTCATCCTCGTCTTACAAGACATACGATAAACCTCTTTATCCCCTTCTTCGTGTGACCGACCCACCCTGTTTTTTTTTTTTTTTGCGGAGGTGTGCTGCGGGTACTTCACCTTCTTTTCAGACCCGTTGACGACAAAACCAGAATAACCTGCTTTGGAGCCAGATCACGTTACTCTCTCAGAGAAATCACCTGACCTGCCCGGAACCCACCTGCTTCCTGCTTATTAAAACAACATGGAGCACAAATGCAGGCTCCACGGCGCTCCATCAGCGACCCAGAGCGATCGCGTAAAAGCCGACTTCGACTGTGTCGAACGAGAGAAAAGCCAGAGTACAAAGCCGGAGTTGTGCTGACGCCGAGCACACCGCTCCTTTCACATGATTGGATCGAGGAAAGGAAGCACGTTATCCTTATTATTGAATTATATCAGTTAATTACTCTGTGAGTTAATACCATCTCAGTGTTGATCATATTAACAGAGTCATGACAATGTACGAGGGCATCAATATGTTGTGCAGGTCTGAATGAATTTGGTCTTGGGGGAGGGGGGGGGGGGGAAATTTGACCACAAGATTATTCTGCATGCGCTCCCACTGCAGTTAATTTGGCAACAAACATTGCATGTATTACAAGCAGGATTGAGAACAGATTTAGAGATTTATTTTAATATTTTACTTAAGCTTTAAAGCATGAGCTCACACACACACACACACACACACACACACACATACTTTTCTGCTGACCTACAACAGGCAACTTGGAATAGGGTTTGATTTTCCAGAGATTATTACCATTTTAGACTCGAGTGAGCGGCAACGAAATGACTTCAAGCACATTTGTTGTTATAAAAACTTTTAACATTTGCTGCTTATTACCTTTTAATCAAATCACTTCTCCGCATCTTAGAATCATTTACTGTTTTTGCCAGTGTCCAGACTATGAAGTGACTTGCACTTTTAGGGCCCAGTGCTGAAGACAAAATCCAGGACTTGATTACAACGGGAGGGTTTTATTGAATATGACAACACCAACATCCTGAGGTGGGTCTGGATATTTTAAAACACGTACACAAATGGTTCAAAGCGGCCTAATGGAGTCCTTATCAGGCACATCCTGCACCAGGGGAGAGCTGTGAACAGGCTGAAAGATCACAATGCTACACAAATTGGCAAATGGAGAACAACACCCATATCTGATTAGAGCTGATGGATACCAGCCATGCTGTCGTCATCATCATCATCATCATAATCATTGTCATTGTCGTCATGATCCGAGGCAAACAGAAACACAAATCAGCAGAGCAGAACATAAATGTAAGTTTCAATAAGTGTAGGGGGGATTTACTTAAGCCTGCTGTGTTGCATAATGATCATACCAGTAAACTGAAGTGTCATACAGCGGTCATAAGACGTTCAACATTAAGAGTTACAACACACACTTTCATGCATGAACGTCAGGCAGACTGGACTCAAGTGCACAGCTTTATGCTCACTACACACAAAAGTGTTTTTTCCATCACTGTTATGCCAGGTCAGCTTCATGTGCTGTACCCCACCAGCAACACGACCCACCATGCCTCGTTCAGATGCAAGATCTGTTTTCCTGCTTTGTTCTTTAACCCCACATTTCTAAAATGGTTCTTGCTCAGCTTACAAGCTTGGAGTTGAATTTCAGGAGAAGAATGTGTGCAAAAATGCAGATGTCAGAGTTGTTTGTGATCACTATCAAAATGTTTCTTCCTCAGTTTGTCTGTGTGTGAAACAGTGACTACTGACTCATTGACTGGAAAGTGAGAGGACAGGATTAGCATAAGTTCCTCATTTAAATTGTGTGAACTTCAGTAGTTGATGTGACTAATATGTACTTCTAGTGCGACATAAATAAAGCACATGCGGTCAAAGAGATAAAATAAAGATGTTTGACATTTCACATGATATTATACAAGGTGTTAGGAATAGCAGTTTTAGGTATTATCACTTGAAGGATGAAAGTAGTAAGTTTCATTGTTGATAAATTATTTTTTTCCTCAGATTTATGAATTTAGTCAGAATCTGTGTATGAAAAAGACCCACCAGACCCTCTGATATGACATTAACTTACATACAAATGAGAAGCTTAAACCAGGTCATAGTTGCATCTTCTCTTTATAAATTGCTGCAATCCTTTTTCTTTTTTTTTAACTGCACTTAATTGACAAATCATTTGTTTGCGTCATTGTTGCAGCTCTTGTGTAATATATTCATTTTTTCCTCTTTTTGTGATAAATCACATGATAAATATATATGTATTTTCTTGTCAGAACATAATCTTCACATATTTCTCTGATTGTCTGAGAAGTGTCTTTTCATTGATTTCATTGGAGTGCGTGTGACGTAGCACACTGACCTCCTAAGCGATACTAAAGAGGATGAATCAGCTCTGCCAGCTCTCAGTATGAGGGAAGTGGATTTGATGCCTGTCCCATTTTAGAGTCTGTGCTGCATGATAAGATCAGCCTGTGAAGAAATCGTTCATCACCTCTCGCTTGTAAAACACACTCTTTTTGCTTCACCGGGTTTGAATGTGTCGCTTCTCTCTCTTTTTTTTTTTTTTTGTCTCACAGAGGAAACTTCACAGTTCCGAAGTTACCAGAGTCTAACATGGGGTTTGGCGTGCTGGGAGTGTTTCTGGGGCTGCTCCTGGAGGTGTCCACCCATGGACCCCACGCTGTGCCTCGGACGTCCTGGAGACACCAAGGTAAGGGCTGACCTGGATGATTTCAATAAGAAAAGACATTTTACTGAGAGGTTGGGGAATACGTTCACTTGGTGATCGAGAGAAAAAATGCTCACAGTTGTAATAACTTTTTTTAAGTGTCTAACAACAGTGGATGGTATTAGTGTCCTGTTTTATTAGTATTATTTATATGCTTAAATTCAACAATTTAAGTTCTGGAATTCTCTAATGAATTCACTTTTCTTTAACCTCATCAACCATGTATTACTTTAGTTTTTCAAGGGTTTTTGTTTGCAACATCCTTACACTTATCCTCTTTCTTATTGTAAACTCCATCCTTAGAAAACTGAACCATTTCTTGTAAATGTTCTTTCTAAACCTGCTGATTTAAAGTGAAACTGTGCTTACCGGTAAGTCGTGGAGGATGCACTCAAAGTGAGAAGTTGTACTTGTTAGTGAGTGTTGGTGTTCATTATTTTGAGACCACGAGTGTCAACTCAACTTGTCAGCAGTGCATGGAGACCTGGACCGAAGATTTCTTTTTGGGCTTTTGAGAGAGAACAGTGGACAGAGTGAAATATCAGGAGAGAGCAAGCAGGGGAATGACATGATGCAGGTCAGACTTTAACCTGGGCCCACCTGCTTGTAGGACTGGTCTTCATACATGGGGCACAACCTAACCGCTAGGCCATCAGCGCCCTGAGACCTGAACTATCTTCAGCCTGATTTATACATCTGTGTCAAATCTGTGCTGTGAGATACACTATAGGTTCTCTTAGTCCTGTACCAACTGAGATGCCTTCATATGTAGCCTGGCGTGCACCTTCTTTTTGATACATGTTGAAATGATGCAACCTCAAGCCCTGTGATTGGACTGCTGCGTTGTTTTTGTATTTCCTACATTTACAACATGTCTCGTTCTCTCTGCCGTTTTCAAAATTCTGCAGAAGGTAGAACACTACAAGCTAGAATAATGCAGCTCAATATTAATCGACTCCAACAACACAATATGCTCCGTTTTAACCCAAAGCATAAAAATCAGACTGCCAACTCTCATTTGTAGGTGGAGTATTGCAGAGCTACGCAGACACACAACACACTACAAGTATGTAGTGCTAACAACAGCGAAGGTCCACTACAGCGTAAGCTACGGTGTGCATTCAACGCAGAAGTATGAACCAGGCTTTACTGTATAGAAAGATTATGTATGATGTGCTTGTGCTGCTTCAATACAAGCTTCATAATACTACAGAGGCACCTGTTTCTTCGATGTACCGATATGTCAACAGAGTCCCACAGTCTGACCACAGGCTCTCAAGCATGAGCACTTCCTGTCAGGCGGAAGTTCAGTTTGCTTTCTGTTGGTTACATAAATAGCTCCACTAACTGAGTCGCTGTGAGAACCAGCACAGCTCACATTTTACTGCTTCAGTCAGTCAGTGAGGGTGTTTGCCTTCATCGCAGTGGCGTTTACGTCCAGGCACCTGCAACCTGAACCCACTCGCACCCGGCACAACCAGCCACAAACTATGTTGGATAGTTTTGCCATCAATCACCCAACACACAGTGCCGAGATTTACTCGACCAATGCTATTGTGTCTATGTAACAAAAGTAGACATTTGTGTCCCAAGTGTTTATATTATTAACGATTAATCGATCATTAATTGTTAACTTGTTCTACTATCGGTTAAGAAAAAATGACTGAAATTTGCACCATGTGTTATTTATCTGCTATATACCCCCCCAGTTGATTAAGGAGAACATAAGGATTCCTTAATCGATTTGTTTTTGCCCCCCTTGATAAATGAGCATCCACAATTCTCAGGATAAGTCTCCTTTATCTTTGTTTGGGTCTCCGCCTGGTCCCTGACGTTGCTGATTTGCTGTTTGTTGCTGAGCAGGTTAAAATTGAAACATTTTACACACTTAAAAGTAACACAATGGAATCTGTTTTGTGTTCAGATTTGGATCTGATGGAGTTTTCCGAACCTGGGATCTTCAACTACACCACATTGTTGCTGAGTGAGGAAAAGGATGCGCTGTATGTGGGAGCCAGGGAGGCCATCTTTGAGCTGAGCAAGAACGATGTGACAGTCAAAAATAACAAGGTATCAAAATTAGAATTTGGAATTTGAAACAATCAAGAAACAAATTCATTCTCGGGAAAATTGCGTTCATTATTTTTGTTGTTCTATTTTTAGGTTCAGTGGAAAGTTGCAGAAAACCCAATGGCCATGTGCACGCTGAAAGGGAAATCAAAGGAGGTTTGTTCAACCATTAAAGTGTTTATTTATGTCATGTCTAAATCACTCTTTTAAGGGACTTTAAGTGTTGCAGACAATAAATATTAGTTTTTTTATTCGTATATGTTACTTTGTTTTCCAGCGGGATTGCCTAAACTACATCCGAGTGCTCCAAGTCGTGGACAGCCAGCGGTTGTATGTCTGCGGCACTCACGCCTTCCAGCCTCAGTGTGACTACTTGGTAGGTTTATGCATCTTATTCAATAAATGAATTGGGATTGCAAACTTTTCAGTGAAATTTAACAGTGAACTCCTCTTTCAGCACCTCTCTAACTTCTCATTGGTCGGTCGACCTGAAGACGGCAGGGGGAAGTGCTCCTTTGACCCCTCTCAAAGCTTCACTACTGTTATGGTTGGTGAGTTGAGGCCAGTTTTATTTGAAGAGCTCTGTCGGTGGCGAGCCCTGCAGCAAAATGCACAATAATCCCCAATAATCTCGTGTTTTTTTGGGAGGCTAAAATTGCTTTTTTTTTTTCTGCTTCTCTATCAGATGGGGAGCTGTACTCAGGGACAGCTTATAACTTCTTAGGCAGTGAACCGATTATTTCCAGATACTCTCCATCACAGTCCCTGCTGAGGACGGAGTACTCCACATCATGGCTTAATGGTGGGTAATAACAATATACGGACGTGACATATTGTGATAGTTTAAAGATTGTCATGAGAGGGACTAAATCTTATAATATAATACAATGAGGCTTTTACAAAAGCAGTCCAATCATCCTTCTTTTTTTCCCCCCTGCAGAGCCCAGTTTTGTCTTTGCCGACGTGATCAAAGAAGGCGCAAATAGAGTGGATGGCGAGGACGATAAAATCTACTACTTCTTCACTGAGGTGTCGGTTGAATACGAATTCTTTGGCAAGCTGCTCATCCCCAGGGTGGCGCGCGTCTGTAAGGTCAGTACACGTCAGGTACCATCTGCACATCCCAGCAGCCTCCCTCTACGCATGTTTGTGTCTGTGTGTGCTGGCCTTTTCATTTTCTCAATCCCCCTCCCTTCATTGTCTCTATTCCTGACCTAATGGGAATCATTAGTGCATCATGGTGTCATGAAGAAAAATAAAGTCTGAAGCCTACAATAACTTATGAATCAGATCTACATTATCACAATATCAACAACAGAGCGGAGAGCAACATACTGAAACAAACAGAAAACATAATGAAGCAGTTTTGTTACATCAACGGAGATCGCACTGGGCGCATGCATACAGTCTATCATTGTCGCATGCTGGCCACAGAACATAAATGTCATCACCCCCCCCCCCCCCCCCCCCTAAAAATGTGGCTTTTTGCTTTAACACATGCAGCTCAAACTGAAAAACTGCAGGGCGTTTTCTTAAGTTTTGTTTAAGTTTGAAAGCACCAAAGTCGTGACATAAAAACTCCCAAGAAAATTGAAAAAAATATAATACATACACATGCATCTAATAAAAGATATGTTCTTAAGAAATAACACAAAAAAATATTTTCACAGGACACAATTATTGATTTCCTGTAATGAGCTGAGTATATAACTCCAAATTTATAAAGAATAATTGAAAGCTGTGTAGAAATGTTTTGTTAATGCACTGACCCCACTTAGAATAAGCTTACTTTTTAATTTATTTAACATTCAAAATCTAGCATCTTTGAAAGAGAATATTGGCTGTGAATATATATATTGAAAAACTATTTGGGGGGGGGGGGGGAGTGTGTGCAGGTGTTATTTTTAGATCGTATATAGCTCCAGCAAAACAACAACAATAAGTTAGAGCAGATTATATTTTCCCTCAGAGGCAACCTTCAAGACAAAAAAGGTCCTGTAAGCATCGTATCACCTCTTGTTGCTGCTTGTAGAGATTATTGCTTTGAGAGATTCTTATTAACTCGAGGCGTCTCAGGTAACTATAAAACCTTTATATGTAGACAGAAAGCAAACAATGTTTGGACTTCGGTGAGAAAATGAAAAACAATAAAACCTGATGTGTCCCACTCCAGCCCCAGTGAAAATTATGCACACGTTCACACTCTGCCATCGTCTCTTCTATCCTTATTACTTCCTTCTGCGTCTCCCCCTCGTCTGACATGCTGATGAGTTGTTTTTTTTTTTTCCATAGGGTGACCTCGGGGGTCAGCGCACTCTCCAGAAGAAATGGACGTCCTTCCTGAAAGCCAAGCTGGTCTGCTCCATGCCCGAGCTCAACTTCGTCTTCAATGTAGTACATGACGTCTTCATCCTGAAGGGAGCAGACTGGAGGGACACCGTGATCTACGGGGTCTTCACCTCCCAGTGGTCAGTGATGTGATTCAATCTTGGGATGGGGATCAGTAGGGGTCAGACAAGAAGAAGAAGAAAAAAAAATCGGACAAATTTAGCGCTAAATTGAAATCTTCATCCTCCAGGGGTAACGTGGGTCTGTCAGCAGTGTGTGCCTACAACATGACGGCTGTGGAAGAGGTCTTCTCAAAGGGCAAGTACATGCAGAAGGCCACAGTGGAGCAGTCCCACACCAAGTGGGTCCGCTACAACGGCATCACCCCTTCTCCACGTCCAGGAGCAGTAAGTGCAGTCAAACACCAAAGTGTGTCAATTCTGTGCAAATTCTTTGTTTTCAAGGGTGAAGAAATGCTTTATTAAGTAGGTGCAATGTAGGCGTAGGTGGAAAAATTCTTGCTTCATAAATGATGAACTGTCTCTTGTCTGCCTTTTCCCTCCACCAGTGTATGAACAGCCAGATGCGACAGCAGAACATCAGCACCTCTCTCCACCTGCCCGACAAAACCCTCCAGTTTGTTAAGGACCACCCGCTGCTGGAGGATCCCGTCCTGCCCATCGGCAACGGGCCTCGCCTCATCACCAAAGACGTCAACTACACTCAGATCGTGGTGGAGAGGGTCCGTGCGCTCGATAAGAACATTTACGATGTCATCTTTACTGGAACAGGTGAGAACGCGCGAGGAAGGGTGTCCTGAATAGTAACGTTGTCCCTGATGCTAACGTGACTCTCTGAGTTTTAAGTATGCTTGTGTTAATACAGAGCCCAAGCCCAATGTTTCTTTATTCAGCATTCAGTGACGTATATAATTACAAATCTCTTTTTTTAATTGATCAGTTTTAACTTAGCCTTGAATGCGGATCTTTAGTACAAAAGACTTTGAAGGTTACTGTATCAAAAGAGGCTTCTTTCTGACGTCCAGCTAATTGATTGACACGTTACCGTTCTCCTCTCCAGATAAGGGAATCCTGCACAAGTCAGTGGTGATCGATGGAGAAGTGCATATTGTGGAGGAGATTCAGCTCCTGAAGAACTCGGAGTCCATAAAAAACCTGCTGCTGTCCTCTCAGGTCAGTGACTTCCCTGTAACAGTTGGTGTTGGAGCCACAAAGACAGCAAAGCACCCACCAGACTGTCAGCTTGTCTATCTGTTGCTGTACTACTACTCATTGTTGATATGATACTACTCAGCTGCCAGTCAACATCTAACTACAGCCAAGCGACTGGTGTTTCTGATATTAAGCCTTTCCTCACTTAAAGGAGATCTATTATGCTGATCCATATTTAAATACATCAAATTTTTCCATGTTGGATGTCCATACTCGAGCATGGCAAAGTTTGACAGAGATACACAAATTTTGCAAGACTTGGCCAGAACCCGACGTTTGGTTCTGCCGATGTACTAGAGCAAAGCATAAAGTAAAGTTGTAGGACACGCCCACCCGGAAGCTCACTCAAATTTTTATGCGGCTGCTAACAGAGCCGGCCAATCAGAGGAAAGTGGACTCCATGGGCAGGGGGGCCTTAAAGAGACAGCAGCTGAAATTAGCCTTTTCAGGCAGAGGTTAAAAATGAGGGATTTTACTGACGCCAGTATTAGATAAATTAGGAGGTTTTTGAGCTACACATCTCGCAATGCTACTTGACAGGTGTCCCAGCCTGACATAATTAATGGTGAGTGACTGTAATAGATCGCCTCAAGTAAATAGGATAACAAAGTAATAGAAACTCCTCTGAGTATGACATGCATTTACAGCATTTACAGTACATTTTTTTTAAGCTAAGAGTATCTAAACTTGCAAGTATGTGTTTAAATTTGTTGTGATAATGTTCACATAAGGAAGTTGCCAAAAAGATTGCATGACAGTTAAAAGCCAAACCAGCTGTTTTTTTCAAAATCAGATGAGACTGCAAGTTAATCTTTCCTGTATTGTGGGTTTGTGGTTGTCTGGAGAAAGCAATGTTGCTGATTTAATGTTTTAAACTTGTGTTGTGTTAACCAGGTTTGTCATTGTTGTTGTTTTCTGTGTGAACTGTCTTAAGCACTTTTCTGTGGCATGTTAACATGAACGACCTTGTGTTTCCACAGACGCGCTCGCTGTATGCTGGTTCAGACTCTGGTGTAGTGCAGTCCCCCACAGCTTTCTGCAGCAGGTATCTGTCCTGTGATGACTGTATCCTGGCTCGAGACCCGTACTGTGCCTGGGACCCTCGCAACGCTGCCTGCGTCAACATCTTTGAGGTTCCAAGTCGGCATCAGTAAGTCCCCCTAAAGCTAGACTGACAGTACTTACCCTCTCTGTCACCTCCTAATCTTTTTTTTTTTCATACCAGTACTCTGCTCATGCATTATCAAACACAAAACCACTATGAAGAGACATCTTCACTTGTACTCCATCCAGTTTGACCTGCTTTACAGTCTCGGAAAGGATACTTCCTCATTTGAAAATAATCTTTGTTTGTTTTTTTTAGGAGGTTCATCCAGAGTCTGAATGGTGACGCAGACAAGTGTCCTTCAGGTAGGTGACAACATGCTATGTTACCTGATAAAGAAGCAATAACACACGTGCAGTGAAGGAAACTTGTGTTATTCTTTTTCCCAATATTACACTGTAATACAGCATACTGAAGAACCCGACTGATGGTGGATTTTTGATGATTATTCTAGAGGGGAAAAAGTGTATTGTGGTCAATATGGATTTTTCTTTTATTCATTTGAATTAGTCCTTTTCTATTTCAATCAACAATGTTCTACATTGCTGCTCAGCTCTGATGCTAGACTACATCTGCTGCAGACGATGCTTTGAGTTTTATAAACAGCGCCCTCTGCTGGATAAACTTTGCGATTGCACCATTTCTGAATCACCCCAAGAATTACTTTTGGGCATTGAAAATGTGATGTATAAATACTGGAAACAGAAACACGACAATACCAGTACATCTGCTATCAGCCTCTATCGGCTGACAGATGTATCTGTCTAGCTGTGAATTGAGCTGGGTGCTATATTTTTATTATTACGTCCAAGTAATTTGATTGGACGTGAGGCATACCATGAGTAATGATGTAGGATACGACATCACTGGAACGTCTCAGTCCACTTCAGCCTGAAGTTCTGAGTTCTGTTCACTGACTGAATCATAGCAGTGAATATATTCAGTAGAACATCCCTCCCTCCCCTGTGATATAGCTGAAGTATGATCTGTTCTGATAGATATCACCCTGGATTTTGAAGATGTTTGTGCTTTCATCCTCAGGGCTGCATTTGATATTTTGGTTTTGTAAGTTTGGAATGACTGTCCTCTACTTGTCATCTGTTTTGAGCACGCCAGACTCAACCTCTAACTAGGCCAGACTTTTAGCTGCCCTTACTAATCATCGTCTTTCCGTTCTGCCTTCCTAGTGTCAGGCCGGTCTCCGAAGGACTACCAGACTGTGACGGTGAAGCCGGGGAGCTCTGCTGAGCTGCCCTGCCTCGTTCACTCTAACCTGGCTCAGGTGATGTGGAAATCCAACGGTTCCCTTCTCACCGAGGCCTCCCGCTTCCACTTCATCGGCGAAAATGGCCTCCTCATTTACAGCGTGGCTCCGGAGGATCAAGGCCACTACGAGTGCTGGTCCGTGGAGTGGGCCCCCGCCGCCAGGAAGAACTTCACCCGCCTCCTGGCTGCGTATGTCCTCGCTCTGGATCTCCCATCCAGACCCCCTCTCCAGGCGGGTCATGTCACCACCACCCTTGGCGTTCAGGATTCATCTAGCACACACGGAGCTGAAGGTAATGGTAAGACAGACAGAGCCACACTAGCTTCAGCCCTCGCCCCTCCCAGCTTCACATCCCCAGTCCAGCTCACCTCCCCTCCCCAGACTGACTCATCACTAACCCCGCCCCCAAGCAGCACAATGAAGCTTCAGCCAAAGCCGCATCTTCCCCACAGCTCCTACGCCCCCCTCCCAGACAGCCTGGATCCATCGGCGGAATATTTAGAGCAAAACAACAGCACCGCCCTCCTTCTTCTCTTCCTCCTGTTCTTCCTCCTCTTCCTGCTGCACTGGCGTACAACTGCTACATGCAGTACCTACCGGCGCCCTGCCTGCGCATGCGAGCCGCCCTGCTGGGCAGCCACAAGAGCGCCCATCAGCCCGAGTATCTCTCCTGCGAGGCGGGGCTTATGGAGGCATCCGCAACCGAGAAAATAAACATGACAGAGCAGCCCACGCAGAACGGCAGCCAGACCTCGCAAAACCTGCGGGCCCTTCGAGACACTGGGTACGAGACAGAGCCTGAGTGCAGCAACGGTCAGATCCCGTCGCACAGTTTTTGCGGCGACAGCCAGTCTCAGGAGAAACCCTTTGATGTGGACTGTGAATCCCAGCCCATCCAGTTTGCAGACGCAGATGAACCCTACTGCTAACCAGAAGCTTCGGTTCCTCTTAGCACAGAGACTGTTCTCTCTTTCTCCTCCTTCGCACAACTTATAACGCAAAGGTTTTCTCTTCATAAAAGCATGTTGAAGTGAAGTCAGGCGCTTTCATTTCTGCCGTCTGGTTTAGAGCTGACAACAAGAGAACAAAAAACTGTTTTTTTGTGGGAAGCTGTGCCCTCTTAGCCGTGTCCAGCAAGAAAAGCTATTTCTTAAATTCCAAATTGGAAACATTGTTTACCAAATTGGTAAGTTACCTTGATGTTTTCCAAATTGGAGTCATGTCTTTGTACAGCCTGAGTGAAAATTATAAGCTTTTGCATTTTTTTTTTTTTCTTTCAAAGCTATGTTTTGGCTTTTTGGACTTTAGTCAATGCTTCAACGTTACAGTAATTTTTCTCAGGGAAGATTTGCTCACTTTAGCCTGGCTTTGTTGTGCGGAGCTGACATCTGCAGCTCGCGATATGTGGGCCTTAATCTCACCCAGCGAGCGGTGAAGCAGGCCTGAAGGTCGTCAGAAAAGGAGAGAAGGATGACTTTGCATATTAGGAAAAAAAAAAAATCAACCACTGTCTGTCTAGTGTAGAGCTGCCTGGAATGTTGCTGTATTTAATGTTTTTTCCCTCCCTGTGAAGCCGACGTGTCAACAGCTCTGATGCTCCTGTGTATTAACCCTTTACTAGTTCTCCTCCCTCTGTGGTCTGTGTATGAAGTGAATGTGTTCAGTATGACATGATGCTTGATTATATCAATCATCTCTTCTTCTTTTTCTAAAAACAGCCCTGGAACAATCTGAAGTTGTTTTTTTTTTTTTTTAAATGAAGGTTTTATTTTAAGAACCTTTCCAGAGAATTATTATTTAAGTCACATCTGGGGTAATATCTTCTTTTTTTTTCTAGTGTGTAAGTAGCTCCTCATTTGTTTTATTTTATTGTATTTATTGCAGCAGGTTTGTTTTTTTTAAGACCCTGTATTCATTCGTCTCCCCCCTTTCTGTACTGCATGTCATCTCTGCTCTAGATTTCCTATTTTTCCCTCAACACTCTCTTTTTCCATCACTCCCTCCCTCACAGCCTCCTCTCCTGTCGACACTTCACACATCCTGTCCTCTTCTGGAAGTAGCACCCCTTCCACCTCCACCTCCTCTTCCTCCTCTTCTTCCTCTTCTTCCACCTCTTCCTCCCGAGCCTCCTTTTCGCCCCACAACGTGGAGGCTCGGGAGGCAGAGGTGAGACTGTTGCCCCCCCTGCTGAAGGACCAGGCCTGGGGGGTTCACGCCCAGGAGGCCTTCCTGCTCTTCTGCCTGGCCCTGGGTGAGTGGTGCCTGTGACACTGACTCAACGCCACCTTCTCTCTTGCTCGGTTTGGAACCTTTCCCTTCCTGTTTTTTTTTTTTTTTTTTTTTTTTTTAACCCTTCCTTTTCTCTGTGCCATTTTTTTTCCCCCACTGGCTCCCTCACATTTTCTCACCTTGCATGTTACCATGAATCAAAAAACTAACCAGGGTTCTGTGTGTTTCTGGATTTCTTTAAAAGAAGCCTGCTTTGACTTTTTTGGTGTGTCGTTAGACGCCTGCATTATGAGTGAATGTTTAAAAATCCAAACCGGGGTTAAACTGTCAACCTCCTAGCGATCTGGTTGTCTCAAAATACTCAATCTGGTGTGAATTAAAGGTGCAGTTTGTGTATAATATTGTATAACAGCATCCTGACTTGAAAATGTAAAATTTCTAGAATCTCTCCTAAGAACAAAGTTATACGATGCTCAAATGTGTTACACCTCAAGACTTTATCTGGTTATTTTTGGTGCCTGTAAACAAGTGTAAATATATCTGTATATATGGAAAAATACAGTTAGAAGGTGTACATAATTCTAGGGAACATTTTGAGACTGTTATTGGTAGGGAAGCTAAATAAATCGTGTCAAAGGTTTTCAACACTGGCTTGTTTTCTTCAATATCTTCTCATCCCCGTGGATTATTATGATCACTTCAGAATTATAAAGCATGTGTATGTGCATCTTAACTACACAAACAGACCCACTGAAAGGCAAGTATGTCCACTGTGTGGAGTGTCAGTGGCGTGCAAATATCACGACCATAACAGGTCAAACATCAAGGTCCGATTCTGTCCCTCAGGTCCCAGCGACGTCCACATTCACTGGCTATTAAATGGCCACACTCTGGACACGCCGATCATGGAGTACCGCCGCCCGCTGGGCCAGAGGGAGGTGCTGGTGAGCAGCTGGCTCCGCGAGGGGCCGCTTATCAAGGACGCCCGTTACCACTGTGTCGCTGAGGCCAGCACAGGAAATGACATGTCAGAGGTCGACCTCCACCTCACTATAGGAGGTATCTGCACCCGGTGTGTGGCTTGAAAAGTTGATATTGGGTTAATGCATGCAGAGGGGGACACAGGTAGAGGATCAATGACACTCCTTTATATTATCAGAGCAGATACTCATTGTGTATGGAGTCAGAGGAGTGCAAAATGATGACGAAGTTAGTAAAAAAAAAAATAGAATAATTACATTTAATAAACTAAAAGACACTTTTTAAATACTTTTTTTTGTAAATGAATGAACCTATAAACTAACACTATACTGGAAAAACTAGTATTTTTTTTACTTTAATATGACAAAAATACTACAATTTTTAGATGTTTGTTTAAATCTGTATTTTAATATATTATTTTCAAAGGACAAACTTGTAAATCAACTGTATTTTGCTTTAAAAATTCGATTATTTCCTTTGATAATTATACCTTTTTAATTGCTGAGATTGCTTTTTAAATGTAATACTACTTTTATATAAAATCATTTTCAGCCTTTTTTTTTGTTCTTTTTTTGCACTCCCATGACTCCATACTTGTAATAGCTGATATCAGTAAAAGATGTTGTCGTTTACCAGATGAGGAGAGTATTCCATCCCGAGATTTGAACCAGTGGAGAGGTGCGCTCACAGAGCATGAGCAGCTGCTAAAGAGATGGGAGAAGGCCTGGGTACGTCAATGCTGTTGCACATGCATTTGTTCTGATCTCATAAAAGTTGCAGTGCAGTTTGCCGCCTGCGCTGACTTACTCTGCATGTTGAGTTTTCTCAGGGTCACAAAAGAAGTGCTTAATCAGGTGATGGTTTAAGGACACAGAGCTGATTGATATTCAGAAAACACTTTTCTACAAATAACCTTTAATGTTGTCCAGTCTGCTGCGCCATATTTAACTTAATCACCACCGTTGCCTGCAGCTTCTTCGTGAATCCTTTTTTAGCCCTCTCACCTAACCGCATTACATTTAACTACATTTTCTGTTCCACATGATCCATTAACCACGTTCAGCTAATGTGTGGCACATAACAAAAACACCTATGTTCCCTTAAAAGGATTGCTAAAGGACTCCTCTAAAAAATACATGCACAGGTCTAGACGTCCTGAAATTCTTATTGGGCGTCAGCCATTAGACTTCTAAAAAGAACAACGTAGATTTGATTCCTCAAATGAATGTCCTTCATCCCATCTGTGATCGTTATTTATGTTTAATAGACGCCAACATCTGTCTCTAGCTTTAGATTTCTAATTCCAGATGAAATTACATAAAAGTCTCAAGATTCAAATAGTTTCTTGTAATTTTGAAGTAGAGATATTTCTTGCATGCATTAAGTTGGCCAGGAACATGCAAACTTCCCCCGTGTGAAACTTTCAAATCTGTAAGCATGTAAAGCACAGCTCTAATGTTCAAGCTGAATTTCACCATTTTCTTTCATTACTTAAAACATATCGATGCATTCAGAATGTGGGCAGAAAATCAGCAGTCTAGAAGCAGGAGAGTTCAGTCTTACCTCTTCAATGTCTCCGTCCTACAGTCCAAATCTGCATCTTCCCTCCACAGGAAAGCTGTGACGGCCACTGAGCTCGTGAAGTGATCATGAGCTTCTCTTGTGTTGGCTGAATCGGGGTTTGGAAATGGATGATCCTCGGCCCAGGTGGACGTCTCCTTTGACACTGGAACTACCATTAACTGATGATAAATGATGTCACAGTGTCACTTTTTACACAAGAGCCACGATGGACCGTGCAGAAACCACCTCTGTCTGCAGGAGCTCACCTGGTCGTGAAGAAGAATATGATGAAGATGATGATGATGATGATGGGACTCCTTTATCTTGACAAGGAGATGAAGCTCATCTGTTGCCTCATTCTGAGGACCTGCTTTTTCTACCGATTGTGATTTTGTTTTTATTTATCTTGATGTAAATAAACATCCTGAAAGCTTTGCCTGCACAGCGCATGTATTTCATTGTGAAGGAGAGGAGCACGGATCTGTGTTTGAAGGTGATGCAGCGTCTGTGAAACCTCAGTCACATTTATTTTCCCAGATGGTTCTTAAAAGATACCTTCCTGTTTGGCATTTTCCACCTGAGATGCAACCTTGTCTTTAATCTTATTTTCAATCACAGAGAGTCAAAGCCCAAGAGGTCTCATGTGGTTTTGATTGTGCCAATAGATTCTGTGGGAAACGGGACTCTTTTGAACCACAGTGAAGCCTCTCATGTTTGACATTTAGCACGATTATATCACCACATGCGGATTTCTAAATGCAATAGAATGGCACAGGTTGAATAAAATATTAATACAAGTGTAAAACTTTATTCATATTAAAACAGATACTACCTAAAGGAATTTTACTTTCCGTTTACTTTAATATCTATTCATTCATTATCCACTTTTTTTTTTTTACATGATGATAAATTATTATATTAACAGACCTGTTTCACACATTTATAAACATCGCAGCATCAAACTAGAGTGACGCAATGACACGTCAGCCTTTTCCACTTTCCACTTCACCATCTGAATTATTAACCAACTTCCACTCCTCAGTTTCTCCTCAGAAACAAGTTCAGACATTTTCAGAGAGTACAGTAATGTCATCAAAGTTAAACTTACCAAACATATTCAGTGTATTGGAGTTTCGATCTTTAACAGAAACACAAGGTGACTCCTTTAAATGTCTACAGGAAGGAGTTTCTGTAGCTCGGCATGGATCTGCAAACTTTCATAGTTTATAGCACCAAGTACCACAACTGGTGCAGCAGCGCCCCCGTGTGGCCAAATAAAGAAGTACAAGTAAAAAAAAAAAAAAAAAAAAAAGTCTTGTATCTCGAGTCACATTATATATATTTTATATATATTGCTATTTAAATTGCAAAACTTGACAATAGTCTGAAGCTTTTAGAAATAAGTCCCTTAAATATGTTGCTGTGGGTTTCTTTCTTCTTAGGACGTCACACATTTTGGGTGAATTATTTGAGGAGAGCTTCAGGATTATTCTTACCACAAAGCACACACACAGGTGTTGCCAGCGACAGTTTAAACGTGTTTTGCTGAAGAGGTGAGTAGGTTATAAAACCCCCCAAAAAAAACATTTCCAATCGTGTAAATATGAAACATTTTAGCTACAGTGTTGTTGTGCCAGCTAATGAAATGAGCTACCCGCAGTTTTTAAGGCTCACAAGCTGTCATATAGTGAAACCTCTTTACTGGGGCCTTCTTTGGGGGGGGGGGGGGGGGGACTGCTGCTGCATGACTACTCGACTTGTTTCTATTGTTGACAGTTCAGAAGCCATGTTCCAGCAGAGCTATATGTGTCTTGAATGGAATTAATACACATTTAATGTCAGCTACCAACAAAAATAGAGCCACATTCTGTTCAAGCACCTTGTAACTGTCTAATTAGTTAGCTAATTAATGAGTAAGAGGCTAAATATGTATAGCTTTATAGGTCTAACAACCCCTTGCTTCCCTTCAGCTCAATTCTCTCCTTTGAATATGGACACCTCCAGCGTTTGTCTTTGAGTGACAACAACCCACATCTGCTTTACAATCTTGGATAAGCTCTTCTAAGATTAGTAGGCCATTTGACTTAATAATCTTATATTGTTTTTTTGTAATAAAATCCCATGTGTGTCATAATGTAAGCTTAACAAGACCCCCCTTGTTTGCCTTTATGTGAGGTAGGACTGCCGGAGAGAGAGGAAGTGTCGGGAGGAGAGAGTTGAGGGTAACATGCAGCAAAGGGTCGGGGTCGGGGTCGGATTCGAACCCACGGCAGCCGTGACAAGGACTATAGCCTCTGCACATGGGGCCAAAATCTAACCGCTAGGGGCCACCATCTGTCAAGTCTTAAAGATGTTTTTTTTATTCTCCAATTCCTTTAACTCCTTTACATAACAATATATTCAAATGAAATGTAGAAAAAAAAAGGTTCTGGGGTTTGTCACATTTAAAAGCACAGATGAAATGAGGATGGCTCCTATAAGGATTTAAAAAGAACAACCAACAACCACAACTGTCAATGTAGAAAGGTTCATATATACTGTGGCTTTATGTGCTATCTGCCAATGTTTTCTATTGAATCAAAATATGTTTGGTTTTAAATTTGGTCAAAATAAGGCACTCAGAGCGCTGATAGCCTAGGGGGTTAATTTGCTCGCCTCATGTACAGAGGCTGTAGTCCTCGTCGCAGCGGCCGTGGATTCAAATCCGAACTCTGCCATTTCCTTCATGTCCCCCCCAACACACACACACACACTCTCTCTCCTTCCAACGTTTCCTGTCTCTCTGCTGTTGTACTATCTGCAGTAATAAAGGCAAAAAGGCCCCAAAAACAACTTAAGGTACTCATCTTATTCACAAACAACACATTGTTTTATTTAAATTAAATATTGACATATAACCATAACTCTCCTCAAACCTTTGAAAAAGGTTTGACTTGATAAATAATTGTATTGTTTTTATGAATGTTTGGAAACCAGTGGATATTGAGCCTATCCCTCACACACATTAAAACACACAGAATCAGGTTACTGTTGCTATACGGCTACACAAACACATCCACTCCACTCCTATGTGGTCTTCACTTCCGCTGCTTGTGCTGCTTTTTAATGAACCATTCACCGACGGCTCAAATGATGCCCCAGACTTGATTATGAGAATGAGCTCTCAAGGCTGTGGATGTTATTGTCCACACAGGAAATTCTTACATCACTCTGCTCTCTCTTCAAGTAGGTTAACAACATTGTTTCCCTTTGCCATTCATATTATTGTGTTTCATTAAGCTTTAAAAAAAAAACACACACACACACTCACACATTGTATAACAGCAAGCAATAAAGCTATTGAAACATGTAGCGTACAGGCTCATTATACAGGTCACGATGTAGGACAACAAAAAACACCCTATATTCCGTTCAGTGTAACCCAATGTTGTGTTGCTTTTGTGCTTTTGCAAGTGTGACTCGTCAGTAAAATCCATACAACAAAGAGTGTCGGAGAAATTCTGTCTGTAGCAGCAAACGGGGGGCGACAGACCTTCATGGGTTTTTCTTTCCTCAATATCATGTAAGCAAAGCAAGAACAGAGGGGTTCTTTGGGGCGGGTGCAAAAACTCAAACTTCAAATAGATCTATAATATATAGAAAGAGAAGTGATCATCTTCCTTCACTGTTGTTGCTCCACACACAACAATCTGCAGGTTGACTATTGTTAAGCCCGTCATATTTAAATGAACACAAATCCTGCAGTCACATTTGTACAGAATGTTTCAACAACCTTTGAGTTGACTTCTTTAAAAAAATGATTCTGCACCACACCGCAGGAATGATGAACTTTTTAGTTCCTAGTACCCGTTTAGAAGAACCTTTTTAGCTCCTGCTTTAGAGTAGGTACCATGAGGGTGCTGGTTAATAACAGTGGGATGCAACGTGTGAGAATAGCTCCAATCAGTGTACCCACAGTCATGTGTCTGTGCTTTCATTCCTTGTAGTGCAGATTCCTCCAGAGTATCTTAAACCAACGTGCAGTGGTCAGCTTTGTGATGGTCCATTTAGGTTTTTTATTACGGTAAGTGAATAAGCATTTCTGATAAATAACAAAATGGTCACAATTTACCAGTTTGCCTGTGTCTGCCCTCTCTGTAATATTGGTTATTTTGCTTGTAGCTATAGTCTGAAAATAACTCTTTTTTGAATGTTTTCGGTAGCCTGGCAACAGTAGTCATGTGGAGAAGTGTCTCCAGCTTTCCTCGCCAAAGGATGCTCTTTTCCTCTGTCTCTCCTCCATTTTTAAGGTATGTTTGAACAATTAGATACAGATGATTTGAATCTAAACCTTTTACAAGTATCTTACATCTCGTGTTGGCTATGAAATGTACATTTCATTTATCTCCATGGTTTATGAAAAGAGAGGAAGGTACAGGTTTCAGGGGTCTGCATGCTTTAATTTGAAAACTCCCACTGTCACATTCCTGTGGGTTGTTGAGATGAAGCAGCAGACGTTGAAAATATTCCCACCTTTTCTTTTGAAGTCAGGCTCCACAGTGGCAGAGAAATGGTGGGTGGGTCCTCAGTGCTTTTAGTGCTCACAGCCTGCTTCTTGAAGTTATATTTCCTGATGCCCTGATGCTATTTTATAAACTCTGCAGTGTGGGCTGTACACAATAGTGTCGCTCGGTTTCTTAATTTGAGTTTTGGGAAATAAACACAGGGTCCTCGACTCAGTCAGGGAATTGTGTAACTTTTACAGGTTTAGCTGAAAACGTATTTAAAACAGACTTCAAACTTTGGTTGGACAGCTTTCTCGATTTCTTCACTCGTTGCCCATTGACTACTCTGCAAAGAGTCTAAAAATCTTTAAACATAAACTTCAAAGCTTACCTTTGGGTCAATATTTACATGATTCACTTATTTTTTGTGTTCATGCTGTAAAAATATGAAGCCTTTTCTTTGTAAAATCTCATCTTTTTATGCATTATGGTTAAGAATTCACATCATTTTATTTTACACTTCATTTGTGTACTTACAGTCTAAGGTATAATGTCTGCTGTAGTTTGTTTTGGGGGAAGGGAAAGAGGGGGTCATCACACTGAGAATAGTTTAACATTTACTGAGATTAGTGAGAATGACTCTTTGAAAGTATTTGATTACACGCACACACAAATAAAACACCATGTAGTCGTACCTCTGTTATGATGATTGTTTTTGTGCTTGACACAGTGATGCATCACTCTAGATGTTGCTTGCATAATGAACTTGCAGGACTCCTTTTATTAAGAACAGTTCAAATTCAAATTCAAAAAACTTTATTTGTCCCCGGGGGGCAATTCAAAGGCACACAGAGCAGTAAATTAACAACAGTGCTGGTAGACGGAACATTTTAACAATTTAAATACAACTTAAAGCTTAAACTTAACTTAAAATACAAAATATAAAAAGAGTAGATATAAGTGGACAGTGATTGGACTGACAGATGTAAACAGAACTAGAGTATGTGCAGTAAACGAGAAATAAATATATATATATATATACAGAGCTATGTGCAAGTAGGAAATACTAAATGATAAGTTATAAGGTGCATGGTGAATAGTGGAGTTGAGGTTCAGCCTATATTTTTATACCTTATGGACATTAAAAAAAGGAAGCATTATGTCTACCACTTAAAAACTTCCAGATCATTTCACCTAGTTAGGAATCTTCAAAGCAAAAAAGACCCTGTTGTGCCAAAGTATGGGTTAGCTTTGATTGGGCTAACACTGTTTGGGGAGGGGTTTACAAATAGGTCAACTGGACTTAATGTCCTGCTCTTTGATTTCAATGGGTCACTTTGACAGATTTACCATAAACCAGTCTTTTAGAATTTAAAATCAAACTACCAAACTCATTTTTTTATTTCACAATTGCAAAAATGATGTCAGATTCAAATTTTTTCAAATATGAAAATATACATTTTAGATGCATTTCATACATAGCTCTATTTTATAAAAAAGGATTACGGTTGCACAGAACAGTTACTTATTTGATTATGTAGAAGTTTTAATTTTGTTTGTGGTAATAATGATATATAACAAATTATTATCGGATTTTTAGAGCCGACATCGATCTCGATTTTAGGAAGAGAAAAAATCAGATACCAGTATATCAACCAATATCTTTCTTAGATCTTTAGAGATAGATAGATATAGATATACAAATGTTTTGAGTTGATCCCTCAAATGCAGTTATCATACACTTGTGGAAATTATAAAGATGGACGAATTGGTCACTCAAATTTGAAGTAACTGTTCTTGTATGCGCAGCACCTTTACACTCTGGAGAGTGATAACGCTCGTAATCCATATAGCGCCCTCTGCTGGTGACAGCCAGGAAGACAACTGCTACTTTAATACAATAAAACTCAAATGAAATGCTATTTGACTGATGAATAAATCTAGTGATATTGGCACATATCTTCGATAAAATGAGCTGACACCAATAGTCACTTTATATGCTAATATCGGCGATATTATCGGCGGCCGATTTATCGGTCAGGCTCTTTAGGGTAGCGCTTTAGGTCATTGGTACGATATCAAACCCATCAAACAGCAGCAAGTTACAAATGTAAGTGTCTGTGTTGAAGTTAGTTTCTCATTAGGTGTTCTACTAGAATAACAAGTCAATGACAAAAACTCTAACAAAGTGGGATTTGCTTAAAACCTAATAATGTCTCAAAGGGTCAAAATAACCCTGGAAAATGTAATAAGATATCAAAGGGTGACCTAAAAGAATGAATTAATCTATCTATGCATTTGAAAGACACCAGATATGTAAATGTATTTGTAATTCTGTCAAATGAGAATCCATGTGTTCTTCTATTGCAAATGTGTTATCTGCTCTCATACATAGAAACAGTACATTGAATGTGTAGGTGGTTACTGTTCACATGAATGCTGGGGAAAGAGCTGACGATGGAGACGGTCAAAATCGAGAGGGGTTGGGGGGGCTTTTTCTATCTTTAGCTTCTTCTCCTGAAATATTTCTTTGTATTTTTATTTAGAAAGGCACATCAGGTTAATACATGATGGCAACATGTCACATCTGATGATGCACATTTTGTTTTTTAAAGGGTAACTGGGAGAAAACAAAATGTACACCTGCGTCTGGAATGGTCTCTTCCACTATTCTGCAAGCCTCCCCTGAATGAGTCATCCAGCCTGCTCCTCATTGGATAAGACCATGCCATCCCAAGGGATTGCCTTGCAGAGGCAGAAAGGCCTTGCTTCCATTCACAGAAACATTGGTATGCCTGCCTGCTATTTCATTCACACAAAAGACTAAATATTGCATGTGCTTTTTGTCCTCTGCTCCTTTTCTCCTTTGTGTTTTTTTTTTTGCCTCCTCCTTTGATTAGCGAGGGCCTGCATTTTCTACCCTGCTTTTGTGTTTGCCTTTTCTTTTTTTTTTTCAGAGGCGAGAAGGCAGACGTGCTGTTTTTTTTTTTTTTTTTTTTTTTTTTTTTTTTTTCAATATTTGCCAGGCAGGAAAGAGAGATGTTGGGAGGGACTGCAGTGCGAAATCTGCGGCAGAGTGAGAGCGGAAGCTGCTTATGAATGAGTGTCAGTCTTTTGGCTTAGCTAGATGCTCCTGAGGACATTTTCACATGAATGGTGTCTGGCTGTTTGCTTTCCGGTACCAGGGAGACAAAGATGCTTCATTGCTGCTGGTTTTAAGGAGACTTGAGGGCTTTTTTTTTTTTTTTTTTTCTGTTATCCTTTTGGTTGTTTGGTTGACTCATCTGTCTGAAGCATGTCATTGGTGTTGTGTTTGTTTGAGTTGTAACGTCTCATCAGTTCAAGCTGGACTGATAGCTGTATATTTAAGACAAGATATGCAAACGATCTCCTAGTTGTTAGCTCCACATATCAAATACTGTGAGGGATTAGTGCATTAACGCCTGATTCTGAATATTTTGTGCAAAAATAGCCCCTGGATTAGTCACGTCATAGTCAGTCATAGTTTCTTGAAAGCGAATAACTGAGAAAAGGGTTGATGTGTCATACATGCAGCTATTTTAAATGAAAATGGACAATATATCTCTGACGTTTCATGTTTCCAGTTAAGCTCAAATGTTATTGTGTCGTTGCGTTTATGATTTATAGAGCTTAGTTTGCCATCCTTAAAGGAAAATGATATCTTTGTGAAATATCTACATTTAATTCTTCAATCCAAGTATATTTGTCCAAACAGGACGACTCAGCCAGGATCTGATTGTAGCTTTTAAACCGATGCTTGTTATCGCTTTTTCATTCATCATCCTCTTTGTGATGAGTTTATAGCATGCGTCATCCATGTAGCACAACTTTTATCACCTCATCCACTTTCTAACAAGAGTATGAGGAAATTATTCTGAATGATTTCCTTACCAAGTTGAATTATCAAGCTTCCTGTCTTTGTTCTTCATTTCCTTTTCTCAGAAAAACAAATGAGACTTGGAGAATTACAGAGAATAAATATCAGACTGGGGAATTTAAAAATTGATTGGTCCTAGTGTGCTGTAAGTGGGAGTTTTTTTTTTTTTTTTCTCCTCCCTCCGACAGGAAGTGATTTGCAGTGTTCAGCAAGCCTTTTGTTGAGAAGGTTTTCTCAGATCAGTGAGTCATGCTTTAGCTCGGAGCCGGCAGGCAGGCAGGCAGGCAGCAGTCAGCAGAGAGTGTTTGCTCTTCCCTCGCAGTAACCGGTATCATCGACAACATAGACCCCTTTTTTTTGTCTTCTTTTTACTTTTTGGATTTTTGAGGCTAGAAATCATCAACAGCAGCTGCATCCCCGCAGCTGGAAACCAAGCAAGCCGCACCACAACACTGGCAGCCTCTTAGAGACCTTTTTCTCTCCATCCTCGTCCTCTGTGTCTGCTATATGTCCATGGATTGTGTCTGTATATTTCCCTCAGAAGGATTGGATTGCAGCTCTGGATTTCATTGACAGCACATTGGACTTTGGCAACTGCAGCAGCAGCAGCAGCAGCAGCAGCAGCAGCTCAACACAACCACTGCTGTAACCTCAATAGAGAAAATTACAGTCAGGTGGCCTGTGATTTGCTGAAAGGCGTTTGCTGCCTGTACCACCGCTGCTATGTTACAGGAGAGGGTAATCAGCACGGCTCAGCCACGTCTGCCAGCACGCCTGTGAACTAGGCAAGCTGCGCGTGTCGCTCGGTGGAGAGAGGGGGAGAGAGCAAACGAGAGGGAAGGGTATGCTTCACCGTACCAAATACAACCGCTTCAGGAATGAGTCAGTGACATCCGTCGATGAGCTTCTCCACGGCCTGTCCATGAACCCCAAGGTCTCGGCCAACTCCCAGTCTGCAGCCGAGACGTCCTACACACCCCCGACTGAGGTCCAGCCCTGCTCCACTGCCACCACTGCTTCTTCAAGCACTGCCGCCGACCACCTGGAAGATGGAGGCACCACCCTCTGCACCCTCATCAACAAGGTGTCCAACCTGAAATTCAGCAACTCGGGCAGCCTGCTAGGCATCAAGGGTCTGCCCTCGGCCGTCAAGGACCTGGCTGTGTCTAAGCTGCAGGTGGGTGGGGGTTCGGGCTCAGGGGGCTCCAGTGGCCCGAGCCCCAGTGCAGCAGCAGCAGCATCAGCATCTGGTGTGGGCGGCTCTCTGTGCAGCTCCCATTCTACCCCCTGCTCGCAGCTGGAGCCGGCCGTCAGTATGAGCAAGAAGAGCAGGCTTGAAGAGCATCAGCCCGGCAGAGAGGACTGGAACCCGGGTGGTGGTGGTGGTGGTGGTGGACTGGTGAACAAACCCTCCAGAGGATGGCTACACTCGAGCGAGAAGATCTCCGGTCCTGGAGTGACATACGTTGTAAAGGTTGGTGCTCTGTCTCTCTCACATTGTCTTATTTTTTTCCATTCATTTACCCATTCTCTTTTTTCTTTCAATGACTCAAGCTTAGCTACCTGCATGGAGGGAGGTAATGTAGCTTCATTGGTACATCACAACATGCCCTTGAGTGGGTGGATGTAGGTTGGAAGGCTGAGTGAAGGAGCAGCGAGGAGAAAACAGACATTGAATAATTCAGGAAATAAAGAAGGTCAACATTAGGAGGAGAAACAGCGATGTGGAAACAAAAAAAAAAACCAACAACCCTTCCTCTGTTTGATTTTCAACACGCCGTAATCATTTCAATATTTCCGTCTTTGTTGTGTGTGCGCAGCCGAAGCGTTATGCTTTTGTAACCATGGTGATGTGTTATTTCTGTACATTGTGCATCTCTATGGGCTCACATAGTGAAATGGTGGAAAAGGAAAAGGGGGAAAAAAAACAAAAAACAAGACATACGACACTGCAATGTTTGTCTCATCACGTTCGTGTTGTTCAGCCATCATACATCATTTAAAGGAGCACAAGTTGGCGCACAACTACGAGAGCTGTGAGTGTCATCATGCCGGCAATGAGTCACTCGCATGAGGAGTGATGATGCTGAGCCCTGGCTCTTGAAGGTGTAAAGTGAATGGAAAAAAAAAAGAAAAAAATGGAAGAAACCATTCACACTGAATCTGAAATGGAGCAGAGGAAGAATGAATTGGCCTGAACACATTTATTCATCTGCTTTTTATTCATTCAGCACAAACAGATTAAAACACAGCTTTGAATGCAATGGCTGCAGGTTAAATGAGTTATATTCCAAATGTAGTAACACAGTTTGATTGCCATCATATGACACTTCCTACAACTTCCCTAAACAAAGCCTACAGTATCTGTGACCAGCGTGACTTTCCATTAACTGCATTAGGGACGGGAGCGCTTATTTGTCTAGTCGATGCCGCTGAAAGCATCCACACTGTGAGGGGGGGGGGGATGGGTCCAACCCCCCTATCTTCCTTTCCTGTGGTTTGGGTCCTGTGTGTATTGAGTTCATCATGGTGTTATGCTCACAGCACTTTTAATTAGCGTCATGTGGTCACTCCCCCACACGTCACGCACCATTACTCTGAAGGGATGTTGATTGACAGTGACAGTGTTTACACTCACACTTTTAGCCCATGCTAGCAGTGCGCACACTACACATACTGTCCTACAACAGACGGCTTAAACAACCCTAAAAAACTACAACAATGAAGCTCCGATGAGGCTGGAGGAAACGGCAGATATGGAGGATAAATGTTTGGTGTTTTGCAGTCAAATAGCCAAGTTATCTGTGAAATATTAAAAGTACCCTTAACTATTAGAACTACCATTCTTTCTTCATTAGTTAGTATAGCGTAACGGTCTTTTACTCATGTTACAATCCATGCCTTTTGGGTTAGCATTTTCCATGCTATTCAACTACAATAAGCAAAGACATATCTTTAATTAAACTGATGTTTAAACTGAGAAAGAATTAAATATTCTTTGACCTGAGTGCAACAACATTATGATAACATTACTCTTATTTCTCTTCCTGCAAACCAGACGCAGCAGATGGCCGTTCAACATGACTCTGGTTCTGATCGAGGTTTCTGTTTAAATAATGTTTTTCTTTATCGCTGTTACTTTACTAAATGTTGCAAATTGCTGAGTTGATGGTACATTAATGTTGGGTTTTTGTATAGATTATATAAACCATTAGAGTTTAAATCTGCTCTTTTTGTAAAGTGTCTCCAGGTGGAATTTGTTAGGAATTGAGGCTATACAAATAAAGATTGATTGATAAATACTCACAGTTTTACAACAAGTCTTCAAGAGGAAAGAAACTGATGGGGCTGAAAAATCAAAGTAAGAGCGATAGACATGGAAGTAAACTTTTTTTTTGTTTGCGTTGAGTTTGGCGACCCCTGTGGACAAAGCATGACCTGCGTGAAGCAAGTACAGTAAATATTGGAGGAAAGTCTTCCTGTTGTGGCTGCAGAATGCACAGTTTAAGGCGAAAGACTGTTTTCTTATTCTAATTGACACTTTGGGGTCATTTGTTTACCTGAAAGATTAAAAAAAGTATAAATCCACAGTAATTATTTCCCTCCTGCAGAAACAGCCACGAAACAGTCAAGTCAAATAAAGTCTGGTTCTTAATTCACTTCATTTGGCAGCTACCCCCATTGCAGTTTAAGACATTACATACCTATATGTTAATAATCAATCTCTATGCTGATGGTGTCTTTAGTTTTTGTAGTTCACAGATGTATCAATTTCATAACCGGCTAAAAATCCTCACAGGAGCTTTAAAAAACAAAAAACATTTAATTATAACAACAACAAAACAGATATGCAATCCCGCTGGCTCAGGGCCTAGAGAAAAGAAGACTAACTCACTGCTTATTTGGATGCCAAGTAAGCGCTTTATATCATAGGTATTCTGAGTAATGCGATGTGAAGCTACGAGCTAACTAATGGGCGCTAACATTAGCCTGCTACCACAACAGGCCACAGGCAGTCGCAGCTCAAGCCAAGGAAAAGTTTGTCCACCGCTTGCGCTTCACTCCTTCATGCGAACTCCAGTGAGAGGGGGGTTGGAGGTGTTTCGCTGGAGGAGAGCGGAGGCTTCAGAATAGGAGAGGTGCGGCCAAACAGCAGTTTGTTTTGGTTTAACGCTGGTGCTCAAGGGCGACATCTACTGGAAAGTCGCACATTCTGAAAAAAATGACCAAATATAAAATCATCCAAAAAGAGATGTTAGCTTTCATGCTGATGCAGCCATACTAAAGTTAGCACTTGACTGATGGGTGAATAAAATGTAAATGAGTCTCAAATAAAATATTCAACCTTTAAAAATAATTCACGTTTTAGCATTAAAACTTTCTTAACTCCTAATTCTGTACGTTTTAATCTTGTTTGATTATCGTAGAATCATCGAATTATTTGCAGGTGTCCGTCTTAAGTTGTGTTTGCTGTTCTTTACAGACACCATCACTTTATTTTAGTTTTGAGCCCGGCTGACTAAACAGACAATATTTAGGATCAAGACTGAATAATTAAAAAAAAAAAAAGATTTAACATCAAGTTTATGGAAACCACATTCTGCTTCTAAGATGAAAAAAAAAGGTGCATTTTTAACGAGTGTAAATTCATGCTTTTACAGATCAGACATTAGAAATGTTTAAACCTTTTGACTCTTTTCTTTTTTTTTCCAAACTGAGTCCGAACAAGAAGTTGTGTTCTAGACTCTGATGACTTAATAGATGTTAAGAGACGGTCTCCCATTGATTTTCATAATTAAGTTGCCGCTCAGTTGAACAGTGTGGTTTGTGTTCTTGTTTGTTGTTACAGCATGAGAGAGAAACGTCCTCACGTTGTGCTCAGAATAGCTCCTCACCAATTTTAGAATAGCTTGAAATACTTTTGTCCCTGCTGACTTGTTCACTTCAAACTGGCTGTTCTTAAAGTAGAAAACATTACAAATGTGCAAACGTCACGTTGCCATAATATTATTTGCTTTGGTAGTACTTTTAAAATGCTCCCTGGAGAGACAGAGGATCGTCACATGACAGTTTTTGTTCTGATAACTTCAGTGTACTCTGAAGAGGAAATAGAAACAGAAGTGTGTCTGTTTTGTTTCCAGACAGATTATGAATGTGATTCTGATAATGAAAGGAACTCGTCAGCACAAAATGTTCCCCGTCTGTACAATATTAATCAGTGGAGGTGTTGTAATGTGAGTAGGTGGCTGGCGCTGGAGATGTTTTTTTTTTATGGGATAAGAGGATTTCATGTGCTGTAGTAACACGCTGATGCAGCTTCCCATTCAAAAGAAATGCATCCTGGGCTCGGACTCGCCTTTATACTGATGAACTTAAACATCATATGATTAATTCCTCCAGCAGGGTTCACTTTTTTCTTCATCGACAAAACAAACATCCATATATATATATATATATTTTTTTTTAAAGATATTTTTTGTTTTGCCTTTATTGGATAGGACAGCTGAATAGAGACAGGAAATGTTGGGAGTATGTATTTCACACTGGCTTTATGTTTTTGCTCACCAGTATCTCGGCTGTATAGAAGTCCTGCGGTCGATGAGATCCCTGGATTTCACCACGAGATCACAAATAACAAGGTAAGATCACACAGCTCAGTAATTCCATCTTCTTCTTCTTGATTGGAAACGGTGATCATTCATTCACATATAACTAAAAACTTAATAACTAAAAAGGACTTTTTAACTTGCAGTTTTTTTTACATGAACTTAAAAACAAAAATGAAAGATTCAATTAAAGAAACAGGACATTCCTGAGAGCCAAAGATATTGTCCTGTGTCAGTGAATATAAAATGATATTCTGTAAACCTCTTCAGACGTAAATATCTTATTGAATGGCCCACGTTTTTCTGATATGGACACATTTCAACAACATTAGATAATAACTTCTAATAAATGATGGACAGCCAGTTAAAGTCGTACAATAAGACTCTGTAAAAGTGTTTAATGAGGTCATGAATTTTATATTTGCCACTACTGACACCTGATTCCTCACAAACATTTTCTTAAGATAAACTTAGGAAGTTCTTCAGAATGTTCTTAAGTTTAGTTCCTGATTGTTTTCTTAAGAACTGTCTCATTTCTTAAGAACTTCTTTATTTTCGAACTTCCTTATTCTCTTTCTTGTGAACTTCTCAGATGCTGCAGGGCAGGCATATATGTTGATATAATAGGCCTATGCACACGTCTATATATACTGTACATTGGGTACAATTCATTGACTAAAGGCCTGAAATGTTATTTCAATACATCATAATAAGCTTGTTAGTCAACATTATTGCTGTAGAAAACATATTTATACTTTAATTTAAAAAAAAAAAAAAACTTTGGGTAAAGGAAAAGATTACAACATTAGTTCATTTCTTTCGGTAAAGGCAAATTAAAAATAAAATTAACTGTTAAATATGCTATTTCAGGAGTACCAGAGACATGAGACTTACACCAAAAACAGAAGTGGCTAAAATGAACACTAAAAGTTACAACAAATTTATTAAAGCTGAAAATCCCAATCGATGTGTTTTTAATGAATTTAGAGACTAAACTTTCCACTCTTAACAATTTTAGGACAGGTGTAGTGTGATCTTAAAGTTACGAGGAGAATTAGGAAGAAATGTAAGAACTTTGCTTTCAATAATCACGTTCATTCTTAGGCTTTTTTCTTAGTTTTGAAAATAAATAAGCACTTATTTCATGAATATCAAATCTTCTTAACTTTTGTCTTAAGACTGAAGTTAAGAAGAAATCAGCAAGTTTTTTTTTTTTCTTAAGATGGTTTTGTGAATCCGGACCCTGGTTTTGTACATGTAGAAAATAAAAATCCTTAGTACAATGTGGATTTAACCCAGCTGCATATCTGATTTGTTACTCAACATTTCACAGAACAAATACAAGGGGAAAAAACAAACATGCTTAAAAAGCGCTTTACAAACATTTGGACATCATTTTTTTCCAAGACCACTTCTGGTGCTCGACCCACCAGTTGAGAACCTTTAAGTAATGACTACATGTATTTTTGTACCAAAGACTACTTTAAGAAAATCACTGAAAGCAGAAACGTATGACTCTGTAATTAAGTGTTTCCACATGGAGTCCAGCTCTTCTAAAAACCCTTTTACGACATGTGATAGGGTTAACTAATATTTGTCAGAGGACTTATAGCGTGCATTTTATTAGAATTTATTTCATTGAATTTCCGGGGATCTCCGCATGTATCTTTGAAACCATTGATCAATGTGCAGTGAGCCAAAGGCCAAAAGTAAATCGGTTTGTGTCATGTCTAGTTTTATGCTTGACTTCCTGAAGTCAGTCCGGACTGAAGTGAGCTTGCCAGGCCACGCAGCGGTAACTCCTCACGTGTGTCTGAGTGTTTCCTCTAATAAATAGAAAGGAAGACAAACCTTTGTCTCATACTCTTACCCCTGTTGATGACCTATAAAAAATCCAAATAATTTGTCCAATACTTCAGTAAAATAGCTTCAAACTGTACCTTCATTGAGTCATTATTAGCTACTGTTAGCATAAAATGCTCATTCAAAATGGAACAAGGAATAAAACCCAGAAAAAAAAGTAAATTGAGGCAATAAATGAACTGACGAGTTCATGAGTCATTTTCTCAACTGGTGTTACAGTCAGGCTTGTGTTTGCAACCAGTGACGGTGCCCCCTGCTGGCGATCAGAAAGTATAAAGGTTAAAAGCACTTCATCGTTGCTTTGGCTCAATTCTTAAATGAGAATGATTTTTTTTTTTAAATCATTAAGCTCATATCTCAGAACAATCTGTTTGCCATTCACAACAGATTCAAAATATTTCATTCATTCAAGCACATTTAATTGTTTTGGTTCATGTGTGCAAAAGAGTAAGTCGTAAGTTGATTCTCAGTGAAATTTCAAATTCTTCACAAACTCTTAGTTATCAAACTGTGTTGGACATGCCTGTATATTCATAAATATTATACAATATATATTAAACAAAGTACAGTCAATGTGAACACGCATGGGGATGTTAGTATTTAGCTCAGAAATGTTGCTGTGAATCTGTATCCGTCTATGGTCATCATCTTGACTTCATCTTCCTGTCTCCCTCACTCCCTCCCTCCAGGGAAGCCATCAGTCTGGTGTGTGAGGCTGTTCCAGGGACCAAAGGAGCCCTGCGGAAGAGAAAGGTACATTGATGGACAGAGAGGGAGGGAGATGGTGTGATCACGTGTACAGTGAAGCCCACACAGAGAGAGCTGAGAAAATAAACGTTATTGAGCAGTACAGTAAAGAGAGAGCGTGACAGTAAAACAGTATTAGATATCCATTTACCCTTCTGAGGTCTATTTATAGTACCGCCTCTCTAGGTTTTTTTTTTCTCCTCGTCCTTCCTTCATTATAACGAAAAGGAAATAAGACAGAGTGAGGGAGAAATGATGAGAAAGATAGAGATTGCATTGAGAGAGGAGAGGTAGAGGATACATAGATAGATAGATACATAGATAGATAGATACATAGATAGATAGATAGATAGATAGATAGATAGATAGATAGATAGATACATAGATACATAGATAGATAGATAGATAGATAGATACATAGATACAGATAGATAGATAGATAGATAGATACATAGATACATAGATAGATAGATAGATAGATACATAGATAGATAGATAGATAGATAGATAGTTAGATAAATAGATAGTTAGATAAATAGATAGATAGATAGATAGATACATAGATAGATAGATAGATGATAGATAGATAGATAGATAGATACATAGATAGATAGATAGATACATAGATAGATAGATAGATACATAGATAGATAGATAGATAGATACATAGATAGATAGATAGATAGATAGATAGATACATAGATAGATACATAGATAGATAGATAGATAGATAGATAGATAGATAGATAGATAGATAGATACATAGATAGATAGATAGATACATAGATAGATAGATAGATAGATAGATAGATAGATAAATAGATAGATAGATAATAGATAGATAGATAAATAGATAGATAATAGATAGATACATAGATAGATAGATAAATAGATAGATAGATAGATAGATATATAGATAGATAGATAGATAGATAGATAGATACATAGATAGATACATAGATACATAGATAGATACATAGATAGATAGATAGCACAAAGTGATTTTGCCGAGTAAGACATGTTCCTGGATTGAAACATTGCAATCTCAAATCAACGTCGTGCTCAACCAATCACAATTCCATCTCATCTAAAGGTCGTACAATAGAAAGGAAAAAAGTTAAAGCAGTACTACAGGGTTTGCTTATTGAGCTAACCTTCCCTGTTAGCATCTCTTGCCTCGTTTGTGGAACACGGTAAGCTGTGCTAATATGAAAGCTTGCAATCAAGCTGGGATGTCTTTACCCTTGAATGTTAGTGAGCGATATCTCACTAACAAGCGTACCTTCAAGCGTTGCCCAGCTTCTACGTGAGCAAATTCACATGCTCTTTTTTGTAGGTTAGCTATATAAGAGCTATATGAATTTCAAAACAGAAGCATGAGCAGCACAGTGAGGATGTCAAAGAGAAGATTGGTTGATCTCAATGTTGGTCCAATTTGGGTTGCCGATCCAAGAACATGTCCTACCTTTCCATAATCTGAACTGTCCTTTCTGCTAACCGGCTGCTAACAATAGCTTTCAAATTTACCGTATAGACATGAAAACAGCTCACAGCAGAAAGCCAATTCTTTTTTCTGTTCCATTATAATATCTCATACAATTGGTACAAATAATTGTTGTTGCTGTAATGTATTTTTTCTTGTCCGTCTGTGTTTTCTGGTCCTTTTAGCCTCCATCCAAAGCTCTGTCAAATATTCTGGGGAAGAGTAACCTGCAGTTTGCTGGCATGTCCATAAACCTAAATATCTCCACCAGTAGCCTCAACCTGATGACCCCTGATGGCAAACAGGTCAGTGCGACGCAGCGTGCACATGTGTAATTAAAATAAATGTTACTATGGTAACACCCAGCTGGTGCAAATGGTCGATCCGATAGAAATCCCCCCAGCCCCCTTCCCCACGAGACACAACTGGTAACACCACAACAGAACATCTGAAAGACAGATATGAGCAAGAGAAACACGATATGTCCAGTTGTTTGGAGAATTACCAAAGCAGTTTTGCAACTTTATTGTCCGATTAGCACATACATAGTATTCAAAAATGCTCTCATTGTGGCAGCAGTGGTCAGGGGTTGAATTGCAGTCTACCACAATGTCCTTCTTGATACTGCCAGCAGATGGTGACAGAGTACAAAAACAAAAAAAAAACCCTAATCATACGCTTACAAAATGTATTTACACTTGTGTACGGTTGTTTGAATGAAGAATACTTTTCTCAATCAAACCTTCTGTATATTTTTGCTCCTGACAGATCATAGCCAACCATCACATGCAGTCCATCTCCTTTGCATCAGGTGGAGACCCTGTAAGTATTTCTACTGTACACTGTACAATTGTTTACCTCATCAAGAAAATAAAGCAAAAACAATAAAGTTAACCATACAATTCAAACAAAAAAAAGTGTCTAAATGAGATAGCATTGTTTGTGACAAGTCTCATTTTCACTTCCATGCAGTAAATGTAATAACAGGGCGTGTGGCATCATATTATGGAGATGATTATGGAGATTTCAGCCAAGCTTTATTTTGTATGACCCTTTGTTATTGTGGCAATACATTGAATGACAAAACACTCTTAATTTTTTTTACATTTTTTTTACAGGTTTTTCTATTTTAGGAGTCTGAATTTGATTCTTGATCAATTAAATAAAAACCACTCTGTTACAGCCATGAATTAACCTGATACTGTACGGAGAAAGCGTAATATGAGAGCTATAACGGTTGTTTGTTTCTCTCTCTTTTTCTTTTAGGAAACCACAGATTTTGTTGCTTATGTAGCAAAGGACCCTGTTAACAGAAGAGGTCGGTACTTTGTCCTTTAAAGTGTATCCTACGTTTAAAATGCAGCACATTCATTAAAATCACTTCCTCTTGCTTTTGTCAGCATGCCACATCCTGGAGTGCTCCGACAGTCTGGCCCAGGATGTTATCAGCACTATCGGCCAGGCCTTTGACCTTCGCTTCCAGCAGTACCTGCAGTGTCCCTCAAGCAAACTGTCCTCCACACATGACAGGTGAGGTGTTCAATGATGCACGGGAAGCATTTACTAAAGGACATATCCACTAACAATCACACACACAGAGAGTAATGAGTTTAAAGTTGACCATGTTTTCTCACCAGGGTATTAAACATGGAGGAGTTACATTGGACAGAGGAAGAGGAGGAAGCATCTGATCATCCTTATTATAACAACATCCCTGGGAAGATGCCACCACCCGGAGGCTTCATCGACGCACGGCTGACCAATCAGAATGCAGCACCAGATGGATGCCAGGTACATCCCGATTGATGTGAATTAATCCTGAGCGGAATATCTTCCCCTTTGAGTGTAATACATCTCTGTGTGTTTGTATGTGATCAGATGGGCCCAGGTTCAGTAGATCAGACATATTACCAGGGTCGGCACTGTGGAGAAAACTGGGGAGATGAAAGAAAGCCCATATTCATACAGCAGGGTAAAAAAAACCGCATGATTCTGACTACTTCAATACAAAAGATGTGTTCAATTATGCAGAAATGTGATCGTTTCAACACTGTGACTATGTGTTTTTCTCCCAAAATGTCTACTGTAGGTTCATTCGATATAAGCAGTCTACCTGACAGTAAGGGTCAGACACCAAAAACAGGAGAGATGCCCACATATGTGAACACTCAGCAGATTGATGCCCAGGTGCTCGCAGCACTCCAGGCAGAGGCTGAAAATGTGACAAAGGGCATGGCAGCTGCAGCCAAAGAGAGCCCGCAGAAGGACCTGTTTGACATGAGTAAGTCCTAGTCCTAGAGTAAGTTATAAAGTTTGTGTTGTTCATCTGCACTGGTTCGCACCAGTTCCCAGACTGCAAACATTTAATTTGCTGCACCAGCTGAGATTGTTCCAACGCAGGCATGAGTTACAGCTGACGCCTTACACCTTGCTCCTTAGTAGGCTAACCCAAGGTTTTTAAAGGTAGGATAACTTGGAGAAATGAGGAAGAACGGACAGTTTTACCAGCTGTTTGACGTCGGCAGTGCGTTCTCCGTGATTACATTACATCCCTTAAAAAATGTATGATGTCTTGTTGTCCATGAGCAGAGATCATTGTTATTTTACACTAGCTGTAGATCAGTTATTTTAAACACCTTACCATCATGCTTTGTCATATTTCACATACATTTTCAGTCCATGTTTGTGGATACAATGCAGTGAACAGAAGTTATTTTCAGCCGTCAGACTGTACACACAGTTAGGCATGAGAGGAAACACCATAACAAACACTGCATGTGTTTACTGCTCACTGATTGGTTCTGCCACAGTAATTTGTTTAGTTTGAACGTTACCCACTTCCACTTGATATAAACTTTATGTCCCTGTGGTGCAACCAAACAATGACAGAACTTAAATTACAAACTAAGTAGTGTCAAGGTAAGGTTTAGTGTGGACGTTACACCACAATTTTAGTCAGAACTTACACATAACTGGTGCAACAGGCTGCTGATCTGATGAGACCCCCATGTTGAAGTATCACAAAGTATCATGATGTTTTTTTTTCTTTCAGCATCACACGGTAAGATAACTTTCTAACCACAGTTCTTAATTATAGAGCTATCCTAGCTCATGTTCCTCATTGACCTGAGCGTGGCGTTATAATAACACTTTAACGGTATGAAGACAAAAGGACGACAATGTTAATACCAGTGTGCAGAGTGTATCATTTCCTCCTGTCAAGTTCAAGCCTAGCTTTGCAATTATTACACATGACAGATCAGTGAAATGGGAATGTGTGCAACTGTACATGAAGAAGTCATGACATAAATTACATGTGAGCACACAGTGAACTGGTCTTTAATGAAATCTAACTTTGGTCCTCAATTTAAGCCTACATAAGTTCTTGCATCTTCTTTGTGCCTTTTTTTCTGGTGTAATGTTTTATTTCACTTTGCAGTTCCACCACCTGTTAACCAGAAGGTGGCTCAGTCAATAAAATACATTAACTTTGTTAACCGTAAACTTTGATATCAGTTAATTCCATGAATGATTCATTGAAGTTCATGTTAACCAATATTATCAAAAAACAACCAAAACATCAGTTTTAGTACTTAGTTGTTTTTTTTTAAAGGTGACTCTACCTCTGGCTTCAAAAGAAAAACTAACGTGGAAAATGCCTTTAAACTGCATTCTTTGCAATGGCCAGAAGAGGGAGACTTCTCAGATTTGGTGAAAAGAAATTCTGACTAAAGAAACCACTTGAAAAGGTTAAAAAGAACCTAATACTTGGTTGATTTATTGCATCAGTAAAAAAAAAAAAAAAAAAATGATTCAAATGTCTCAAGACATGATCCACGCATCATGTTTTTTTTTTGTAAATAGTGAAATCAACAATTTAGCAGGGTGTGCTGTAGACACACATGGCTTCGTGTGATTGAAAAGTTGCTACCATGGCGACCTTTAACCCAGGACAGAAAGGTATAGAAGTGTATCCATGCTGTTGTCCAATAATTTTGTCTTATCGCTACTTTAAAACAAAAAAGCCATTTGGAAAGCTCATAGCTTCAAATGACATCTCACATACCATCGGGTGATGTCAGAGCGGCGGTTTCCACATTTTTTATCCAGTCTGTTTTTTAATAAAAGAAACAAAAATCCACACACTTTTTCGTCGCAAGGAATCAGTGCACTGATCTCAAGCTGAAGCGATGCTGAGTTTGTGCTCCAGGCAACATTTTTTCTTAAAACAATTACAGCATCAGATCTTTTGGATTAGCATAGTTTATTATTCACACATGTAGGATATCAAGTAAGAAATTGTGCTCTACATATCTTTCCTCTCCTCATTCATCACTTTGACAATACCCTCACCAAAAACAGAGCCCTTCGAGGATGCATTCAGTCACAGTCCCACCCGCCGTCCCAGGGACAAGTCCAGTCGCAAGTTTCAAGTCTTCACAAAGCAGCGTCTGTGGACAACTCCAGCCCTCTTTTGGTGCGCTCCCTGGCCTTCCGGGCACAGGAGGAGCTGGAGGGACAGGCGTGGTACCACGGCAAAATGAGCCGCCGGGACGCTGAAAAACTTCTGAAAGAGGACGGGGACTTCCTGGTTCGTAAGAGCACCACCAACCCAGGGTCTTATGTTCTGACTGGCATGCACAATGGACTCGCAAAACACCTGCTGCTGGTGGACCCAGAGGGCACGGTAAGAAGGCGTTCCACAGGGAGATACTCGTTGATAAAAATCACTGATTAGTCTTGAAAGTCACAATTCTTCTTCTCTCTCCCTCTCTCAAAGGTACGGACAAAAGATCATATATTTGATAGCATTAGCCATCTCATTGGCCATCACCGTGACAACAATCTGCCCATTGTGTCCGCTGGGAGTGAACTGTGTCTTCTACAACCCGTCGGAAGAAAACAGTGATGCTTGTAATGCCTGATGGGAAACAGGAAGCGTTGGACAGTCATTCCTACCATCCTGAAACTTGAAGATGAAAAATGAAGATAAGATGCTAAAAGGCTCAATGCACTGACGGTGATTTTTGGAGAAAAAAAAATTAGCCTGTGGTTACTTTACTGGAGGGACTGGAAGATGCAAGATTTGTTTAAGAAAAAAATATTTATAGAACTGTTATTATTTTGTTGTGATGACTGAAATGCTATATTTTTGAGAAGACATAGGTGTATTTGGACATAATATCTTGATTTGGTGTTTTAAAAGATTTAAAAAACGACAATTGTTCTTGTAGTTTAGATGAAAGTGCAAATCACACCTCAAAGAGGTGTTAACAAGAGTATTTTAGAATAAAAACCGGAAATTTTAGTTTTGTCTGTCAAGCACAACCACATTTCTACAGAAAGCGATGGTTAAGAAGTCGAGGAAACAAACACACATGCTGTTTGTAATGAATGACTTCATGAAGAAGGATCTCACCACTAGGGGGACAGCTCACTCAATTAGTCTCTATATGAAATCTGCTTTTATCTGGGATTAGATCTGAATGTGTTTTGCTTTGCAGTAGTCACAAAGTGTCAGGGTGCAAACAGACATCCTCCATAGTGCTGTCAATGGCTTTAAAGATTTTTTATGAAGTATTTTCTCGTGTCACTGCAGTCGCATGACTTAAAATCAACTGTTCTTGTGGACATTGTTCGTAGACCTTGATACCCCTTTATTTGAAAGAGGTGCTTGTGTATGCTGACACTGTAAAAAAATATATATATTTATGCTTTCAACCAGTGATTATTACTGAATCGGTTTCCTCTGGATTCTTCTTTTAGGTGTGTAGTCGATGATTAGTTTTGGGGGCTTGAGTCATGCAATGGATCTTCTCAAATTCTTCAGCTTTTTTTTTTTGGTTGGACTTTCTAAAAAAAGTTATCATTTGAATTATCACAAATGAGCACAATCAGAGAATTAGATCAGTTAGATCATGTGTGTCACTCGCACCAAGACAAATGACAAATATGTTGAGAGGTAATTTACTGCTTAAATCGGACAAATGTCTAGTTCACACAGAATGTTTAATATTACACCACCTTCACCTATCAATGTCAGAAACATTTGATTTCTCACTATGTGAATATCTTACGGCAATACCGCTCAGTTGTCACTAGATGTCACCATAGAAATGCATGTTCAGCCCGTCTGTCACGCTCATTCTTTAGTCTTATTAGGACAGGATGCTACTGAGGAAACATCCCAATCTACGAAAAGTGAGTTTCCAACCCTTTTTGCTTGACCAGCGTTAGAGTTAATTTGCATTTCACTGTCCACTGCACCTAATCAGAACACTTTGCTGTGTGTAGGTGAGAAACACTTGTGTTTGTAGAGTGGGAACCCACATTCTGAGACGCCTTCTAGATAAAGTACACTGACTTTCAAAATGGTCTCATGCTTACTATTGTCAGTACTCTGATGGATACCAAATGAATAGATATGCACTGAACCACTTCAGTTGAACCAGAATCAGCAGGAGTTCAATGAGTTTGACGAGACACATGCAATGTAATATAACATGCCTGTATTTTGCTGCAAGAGGGAGTGTACAGTACATGCATCTCAACAACACATATTTGAGCAAAGAGCAGTATAGGGATCTTTAGAGAGATAATCCACTGGAAGATTTGTCTTTGGTTTAGTCTTCACTTGATTCCTTGAGTTCCTTTGAGCAGAATGCAGGAGAGGAGGTGCCGTAGATATTGGCACTGTTGATAGAAAGGAGAGAAAAGTGCACAAGGAATAATTTATAGGTTACCCCGCCATAAAACTTTTACTTTGTCCAATTCTTTTTGACATAATTTCATGTAATCTAATATCCTGGAAGAGGGAATAATGTGCTTAAATTTTAAAGAGGCACTATGCTCACGTCAAGAACTCTTTTAGAACGAAGTCTTTATTTCTGGGGAGCAGATTTGAAATAATGAAATGTGCAAAATTCTGAACAACTCAAACAGAAAAAGAACAAAACGCTAGAATCTCTCTAAAGTCTGAAGACATGACGATTAGCTGCTCGGCATAAAGAAATCAGACAACCAAACGTGCTGGGACACAGAAAGAACACGTCTTCTTTCCAGATTTCTGTTGATGAAAATGTGCCTTTTATTTGTATAAATGGTATTTTTGTTCCTCTTTCTCTCTCTCTTCAAAGTGCAATAGCTGATCTTCAATGGGGCATGCCTGTTCACTAGAGGTCGTGTTTCGCCCTGCTGCGTGTTGCTGCTTGAGACTACTGTTTTCTCTCTCTCTCTCTCTGTCTCCCTCCCTCCCTCCCTCCCTCTCTATTATATATTATAAATGTATCATTTCCAGGTTCTTGATATAAATCTTTGTTGGAGGGAATCTCACAGAAAACTCACTATTTTGGAAAAGGTATAGAAAAAGAAAAAGGAAATAAAAAACAAGAAATGAGTCCAAATGATGTTTACAGATTTAATCCTTTGGTTGTTTGGGTTTATCATTATTCTGTATGACTGTTGGCAATAAAACCGTGAATGTGTAGAATCTTTTTTACTTACCTCTGCTGTAATAGAAACATCTCTCAGTTTAAGGCAGACAGCGTAATTATAGTTTTCTCTTAAATTTGAAGGATTCTCACAGAAATGTCTTTTAAGTTCTCTTTAAATGTGTAAGATATTTTAATTTATTATGCTTACACTCTGAGACTAGAATCTTTTTTTTTTTTTTTTTTTTGGCCAATAATATGAACATCTGTTTATGAAAAAAGTAGAAAAATTATGACATTTCCATTTCTGGAAAGAACAGTTTACACAATTAGTGACATATATATAAATCTACCCACCTTCAATCTATATTATGTGGTGGCTGAAGTCTCTTCATGTTGACATAATCAAAAAAAAAAAAATACAAGCATGGCTCACTTTGACTGCAAATAAAGTAAATACACTACAAAACAAATGTATCAGTAAATTAGGTTACTGAGATTATATGAGATGGATACTTCTAATAAAGTCTCTCTAGTGCAGAAAGCACTATGGGGGATCAATACAGCTGATCCACTGGCGATTCTAGAGTCTGTTGGGGCCCCAGTCAAGAAATAATTGGGGGCCCTACAACCCAGCATTTTTCCCCATTATATGTGCCTGTGTTCGTTTTCTACGGCTGCTGTAGTTTGAAGTTTGTGAGCCATCAGGGCCCCCCCCCCTACTGTTCTGGGGCCCCAAGCAGATGCCTGCCCTGCCTGTTGAGAAGCTGATCTCATCTCTACTGGAAAGATGACTGGTGATTGAGGTGAGTCCTCTCTGTTAATCATGTTAACTCTTCTCTTTTGTTGTACATTGTCTTTACAATAGCTTTACAATTGTCATTACAATAGCTGCACCAGTTCACATGCTCAATCAACATGCGCCTTTTTTTTTTTTTCCCAAGCGTCATGCTTTTAAATTGAGACAAAACTTTTACACTTCTTGAATTATCAGATTCAGAAATCAGAGTAACTTGGTGTATATGGTACTAAAATATGGATTTAAAAGATTCTGTACTAAATAAGCAGCATGTAGTGGAAATAGCCAGCATTAACTACCATTATTAACCAGAAGGTGGCGCCCTGGTATCATTAGAGTGACTGTACTCAATGACCTGCATCAGATAACAGTTCACTTTCAAGATGATGCTGTTTTGTTAGAATGAAAGGGGCTGAACGTTCAAGTCTTCAATGTTTGTTTTTATGTCACTTACATCACATCTACAATTTATTGTGCAGTTGTTTTTTTACTTACAGTAACTGAACAGTATACTGCAGTATCACTAAGTAAATACAAAATGACAGGTTACATTGCATAGAATAATAAATAGTTTATATTGTTTTTCATTACAATACTTGTTCGCTACAATCTTCCTTCCATTACATTTTGTTTTTGCAGAAATATAATTGCACTTCCATTTCATGTCTTGGATGGTTACATGTGTAAACGGGTAAATGTTTAGGCAGAACATCTTTCAGTCAACATACATCTAAAACATTAAATTTTCAGAAGCTAATGTAAAAAACAGTCCGCTTTTCTTTACCATGCTTTGTTGTGATATGTGTATCCATTCATATAAATTAAAAATGATCATATTTGGATTTGTGTAAGCTGTACATGACAAAGAGGTGACATTGTTTCATTTTAACATTTTTTGGTGTCGTATATTATACAGTCTAATGCCAAGTGTGGACACTTTCAATTGTGGATTAAAGATGATGCAGATCAATCAGTATCAAGCATAAAGGAGAAAACACTGACCTGCAGCCAAATAAATTCAAGTCATTCTAAGTCTGTCATCACTCACAGGTGTGTGAACACTGGGACAACCATCACCTTCCTTCCATAGGTATCTCCCTCCCTTCTTTCACTCTTTTCTGCCACTCTCAAGTACAGCGTGAGCAGCCCCTCCTGCCACCACTGAGACACCTCGCCATGGGCCGCGCCAGTCTCCGCCTGCCTGGAGCTCTGCTGGCTCTGGTTTGGGTTGTTCTGGCTGCTCCACGACTTGCTCCTACTGCGGCTGGGCTCCAGAGACTGCCTGTTCCCGCTGCCGTTCCCTGAAGCCTTTTCCCTGTAGCAAACACCACACACCAGACCCAGGAAGGCCCGCCTCATCTCCCGGCTGGCCAGAGTGTAAATCACCGGGTTCATGGCTGAGTTGAGCACGGCCACTGCGATGAACCAGTCCGCCTTGTAGAGGATGGGGCAGCGCTTCTTGCATGCCACATCCACCAGGAGCAGCACAAAGATGGGTGTCCAGCAGGCGATGAAGACTCCAACTACAATGATGACAGTGCGCAGCAGGGACATGGCATGCTCAGAGTTTCTGTTCTTGTTCACCTTTCTGCTGCTGGACTTAACAAGGATGTAGATTCGGGCATAGAGTATTGAAATGGCTAAGAGCAAGAGCATGAAAACTATGATACAGAAAGCAACATATTTCTTGGTGTAGAGAGGAAGCACTGTGGAGCAGTCAGGGAGATCGCCCAGGCAGTTCCATCCCAGAATAGGCAAAGCTCCAATAGATATCGCAATCAACCAGCAGGTCCCTATGAGCAGAAACACTCTGTAGTTCTTGTTGGCATCATAAGGCCTCATTTTAATCATAGTCAGATGTCTCTCTATGGCAATTGCCAGGAGACTAAAAATGGAGGCACTAAGCGCTACAAACATGCTCCCCTCTCTGACAAACCAGAGAGAAGGTGAGAGCTGCAGGGTCTTCTCTCCAGAGAGAAGCAGGTTGACCAGGTAGGCAACACCGGCCAGCATGTCACACAGAGCCAGGTTCCCAATGAAAAAGTACATGCGGTTGTGGAAACGGTGGTTTCTCCATATAGCGACAAGCACGGTGAGGTTCTCCAGGACGATGAAGCAGCATATGATGAGGAACACAATGGTTTTGGCATCCACAGTGCCCGGGGTGGTGCCAATGCTGGGCCTGTGGTCCAGCTTGCCTGTGTAGTTGTAATGGAGCTGAATCTGACTGTTGATCATGGCTGCTGACACTGGATGTCAGAAGTGAGCAAGGAGTCCAGTGTCAGCAAATCCACCGTGTCCAACTGCAGGGGAAGATGTGTGTTAATACAAGAGAGCAGCACACAATCCATAGTCAATATAATTTTATAAAAAAAAAAAAAGGTGAATGGTTTGGTCAGAATCATTTGACTGAATAAACCCATTTTTCATAATTCAGTGCAAACAAGAGGTCGTTCAGTTTAGTCAAAAAAAAAAAAAATCAAGAAAAAAAACGTTAACCTTTAAGGAAATAAGAGTTTGCATGTTCAAAAACACTCAAACTCTGAATGTTTGTTTACATAAGAGGACTGGACGGTTGACTTTTCCAGCTGGGTGCAAAATGTGAAGTGTAAATGAAGAGTTAATAGTTACTTTTTAGACATGATACTATCTTAATTTTCAATCACAATAAAGCACGTTAGACAATCCATTACTACTCGATGCAAATGAAAGTAGACCTAATTAATCTATGTACGCGGGTTTAGCAGACGAGTTTCCCCAAAATGAGAGCATTAACAGAACTTACCGCGGGGTGCTCGCAGACAGGCTTTGGATGGTGAGTTCAACGCACACTGACGGACACACATTTCATTGCTGAGTTGTCGTTTTTCCTCATTTTCCTACGTTTGAACTTTAATTCCTTGTTCCTCGCTCGATAGGAAAGAGCCCGCTCCTCATCTTTCACTGAAGTCTCCAAACTTCGGAGCTGTGTCGACGGTTGGCTGGAAGTCACTCCCCCACTCCCCCCCTCCTCCAACCCGGGCAAGAGCTGAGAGGCTGGGACGGCTTTAGGGTCAGCTCAATTCATCAAGCATATCCAAGCCAAGGAGGTATGTGGAAACTCACAATGTGTCTAAGATGTGTTGCAATTTAGTGTCCCAGAAATGCTGAAAAACATTTTCTAGTGGGGGATTCCAGTCATTTAGCTTTCTAATCTTTTAAGGTGGTTTAAAATGTTTTCACTATCCCAAAATCATGGCAAGGAGTCAGAAATGGCTTAACTGAAATAATTCTAGTTCAGTTGCTTTAAAGACCTTTATTATGTCTTAAGCTATGGGTAGTTAAAAGTAGCATTAAGCCAAGTCAGCTTCTTGAAACTACTAGCTTTACTTACTAAGCTATCTGTAATTCTTATGGCAAATTCAACATAGCTTGAAGCATGCAAGCTGTCTCAAATTATTTGGAAAGTTTAAAATATATTAATATTTGAAGCATGCAAGCTGTCCCAAATTAATTGGAAAGCTTCAGCTAACTAAATTGTTGGAGCTAGCGAGCTGTCTTGATTTATTTCAGCCAGTTTAAATAAACTACAGGACAAAGAGATAGATTAACAGATTGATAAATATAAAATAGCGTGAGATTAATCCTATTCAAGATGGGAAGAGAGCAGGTAAGTCACATAACTCACTAAAAGCAAATAAGGTATCAATCAATCAATCAATTTTTGTTTGTATAGCGTCAACTCGTAACAAGTGTTATCTCGAGACACTTTACAAAAAGCAGGTAAAATACCTTACTCTTTGTCTGTTAACATTACAAAAGAGCAGGTAAAAGACCTTACTTATTGTTATGTTACAAAGACCCGGCCTATCCATCATGAGCACTTTAGCAAAAGTTACAGTGGTAAGAAAAAAACTGCCTTATTAAAAGGCAGAAACAGCCTTCACAGACCTAGACTGCGCCGGGCTTGGAAGGGGATAGGGGGAGAGATGGGATAAGATGCAGGAAGAGGGATAGGGAGCAAGGGGGTGGGGGGAGGCAAGCCGTCCATCAACAATCCGGTGGGGAGGGGGGTACTGTATGTCAACAGTGACCATTGTAATCCCTCAATGATACAACATGAGTGGCAAACTAACCACTAGTCCACTGGCAGCGCCGCGTGTACAGAGGCTACAGTCCTCCAAGCGGACATGTGTCTGGGTTCGAATCCGACCTGTGGCTCCTTTGCCGCATGTCATTCCCCACTCTCTCACTCTCTCTCTCCCTGATTTCCAAATGTGTCCACTGTCCTGCCTCTCTAATAAAGGCATAAAGGGCAAAATATAAATCTATCATAATAATTATAACACAACTTCAAAAAATGATTTCTAGAAAACATAGATAAAAACCGATTGAGGCACATTAGTGGACGATGCCCGAGTGACGTCATACATTGGTTACTGCAGAGGGTTGAGGAAGCCTGTCGATGACGTTCATCATGCTGGGAATGCGTCTCAACCGAACTTCCAGTCAAAGTAACGACAGGCTGAGAGCTTGAGGTTTTAAGCCTCCTAACAAACCTCTACACTGCGCCTCTGATCAGGCACACAACTTAACTATGAATAACTTGTATCCTTCATAAAATCAAATCAAAAAAACATCCCCCCTGTTCATTGTGTGCAGATAAAGAATTAACTAATAAGACCAACATCATCATTTGTACCATGCTGTAAACATGTTTTTTCTGCTGTAAAAAACAGGCATTTTTGTGTAGGGTGTGTATGTGACTTCTGAGTCTTTTGGAGCTAGCCTCAAGCTCCAGGAACTGCAGTTTTTTTGCACTTCTGCATTGGCTTAATCTTTCAGAACACGAGGTTGCTGCTTGACATAAAGAACTAAACTTTAGGGACTATAACTATTTACTGTTATGTGCAAGGTTAATTTGATTTCATACACATGAAGTGCAACAAAAGCCTTGTCTTTGCAGATTTAAACAGTCAAAAATAGTTTTTGCTCACATGACAAAAGCCTTGTTGTCGGTAGCAGCTGATTTTTCTCCACTGTTTTTCGACATGTTAATCACACAAAATTAAAAAAAGCATGCAATATGCTGTAAGAGTCGAAGCTGAGATGACTGCAGCCCATCCTTTGTTCTGGTCCTTCTGTTGTGACCTCATATCCAGGAAGGATGGGCAGGGCTGGCAACCAGCAAAATGAGAGTCTGGGAGGTAGAAAGACAGAGGATGGATCTTTGAAATAGATGTGGCGAAGTGGAATCTACATCGCTGACATTTTAAGACTTTCCTGACTAGAAGTAAACAGAAAAGGGCTGGACAGTGACTGAAACAATATACTTTATCTTCAAACACAATCCTGAAATTGCACCAAGAAAAACTGAGTCATGACCATCGGGCCCTAGATTTGTGCACTTTGTGAATGTGAGTCAAAGGCTAAGAATCTTATTGCTTTACTTCATATGCTGCCACACATGAAGCCCCATTTTCCCCAAACGAAGCACATTATGTATCACAGACAAAGTCATTAAATAGCAGATCTCTTCCAGTGTTTGTGGTTATTAACCCAGAGGAATGTTTTGTGTGGTTGAATAAACAGCTGTGGTCTGGCATTGGTCCATTAGCATTGTCACAGTCACAGTTCTCAGCCATTTCCTGCAGGTCGCACTGTGCCAGCAGGAATGGGAAAATCTCGGGGGAAAAGCCAAATAGTTAGTCTGGACCCGCAGCAAATGTGGGTCCAATCACAGAGCGGGTCTACGTACAGGCAGCTGGATTAACTGACCGAGAACATGGTTGGAAAAACCTTGGGTTTTTCAGCAAACTACAGAGATGTGGGGCTGACATCTGCATTTACATAAACTTTGAGCCAAATATGAAACCATCAGCAAGTACGTACCCATAATAAATGGTTAGAGTGAGACTATGTGTATTCATAGACTACTGAGGAAGAGTATGGGTGGAGGGTTTTCACTTTTGTTGGACCACCCTCACTAAACTATAGGCAACCACTGAGGCTGGGTTTTCGTTTTCATTTTTGTCAGCATGACAGTAATTAAAGCTCTCTTTCGCTGCCTTTTCCACTTTCAGGAGTTATATGTCTCCTGTAAATCATCAATTCACCATATGTGTGATTTCCTGCACACTATAATGCTATATTATTTAAGCATAAACCTACAAGCTGCAACCCCTCGTTTGAAAGTAATCGACAGTATAACCCTCCTTCCCTCAGAGTAGCTGGCCCCTCAGCTGGTAAAACCATTCCTCGGGGAAAGTTTCCACTGCTTAACTACAGTCTGCCCTGGATCTGATACTGTATACAGTTCATGTGTGCCATTTTTTGTGGTTGGAATAAAGTTTCACATCATTTAATTTAGTTAAAGTACGAATATCCTGCTATGGAAATACTGCATTATCAAATGCAAATGATTTCGATATGAGTAAGTTTTATCAGCAAAATTTGCACAATAGTCAAAACTAAACGTACTAACTGTGCAACAGAATATGTCACTCTTCTCTATTTTAATGCATGTTACATTAGTGCAATGATTCCCAAAGTGGGGTGTAGGATCCCTAGCTGGGGCCCAGAGTCATGACGGCAGCAAGGCTTAACAAAAACAGTGCACACTGTTTTTTCACTACTAGGAAAGCATGGCTAATTTTGTGAGAGGACTTCCAGGTAAATGTGAGGCTTAAATTAATCTACACTAGACGTCATAAATCTGTAAGTTCCTTTTTACAGTAGCTCTTTTAACTGCTTCCTCTTAAGTGAGGGACTAGAGAAAAGAAGAATATCACACTGTACTCACTGCTTATTTGTATGTCACTTTAGCGTTTTTAGATCATGGTCAGTCCGTGTAAATTTACATTCAATGTGAAGGTACGAGCCAATTAAAGAGCTACCATTACCCTCCTAATACGACAATGCAGCTCGAGACAAAGACAAGTTTGTTCGCTGCTTGCGTTTAGTGCTTAGTGCCTAATTAAGGTGCGTTCCAATTTGATAACTCCTTTGTGCAAACGTGTGTGGAGGGGGGTTGGAGGTGTGTCGCTGGAGGTGAGCGGAGGCTTTAGAATAGCGGAGATGTCGCCAAACAGCAGTTTGCTTTGGTTTCGTGCTGGTGCTCAATGGCGACATCTACTGGATTGCTAAGTTTCATTTTCTTCCTTTAAGTGTCTTGTTAGTTTTTTTTAGTTTGTTGTCACACGCTGATCTGCTCTTCTTTACTTTTTTGCTGACACTGTTTGTTTGAGAAGCACTGCATTAGTAGACTTAGTCTAGTCTTGGAGTACAAAGTCAGTATTTGTTTCTTACACGTAGTAAGTAGAATTGTGACATACTCAATTGTGTTCAGAACTGCAACATTGTATTACAGTTTAGGAAATGTTCTTTTACTATTGGTTTTGCCATTCAATAATAATTGCTGAATGAAAGACACCTATCACATTTTTTGTTTATTTAAAAGGCTCTGCACAGGATATGCTGTATGTAGATATATTAGAGACATAAAGCATTTAACTAACCACTCTTGTCTCAGGGCATCGACATATCACGATATTCATTATTAATCATAATGCAGTATAAAAGCGATGCACACTCACGAATGACTACATGTATAAAGTATCCTAAGAACATCCATAATTGATTATAATGCAGTGTATTTGACTGGTAACATGATATCCTTTCATTCAAAGCAGGGAACTAATGGTTAAGTGAGAATGGCCGGATAGAATACAGATATGAGCCCTGTACTTTATAAGCACATTACAAAATCTATTCGGCCGGCACCGCTGTGGCCATTACTTTGCTGGGGTTTGCCTTGTTCAGGCTCTCAACCCTTCATTAGAGCGCAGGAGCTGGGGTCAGAGCCGTGGGCAGTGGGCATGTCAATGTGCAATTACATGACAACCCTGCCTTTAATTTCACCCTCGCCATTTTGAGGCAAAAACACACCCCATGAGTCTTGGCGGACGGTCCCCTGTGGCTTTGTGGCCGCAGTATTTCTAGGCACGGCGGTCTCTTGCATGCAGT